AATATTTTTATATTAAAGAGGTCGTTTAAAACACATACAAAGATTATGAAATATTTTCTTATTATATTATAGAGAATATTGATTTATGTAACAACCTGGCCTTAAAAATTTCTACATGTACTTCGAAGACAACTTTTACACAAAAAAAACACCTGCCAATATTGTTTAAATTAAGGCCTAATTTTTAATGGTAAGATAAAAGTAATCTAGGGAATAATTATGATGCTGTTGCATCCGAATGTTTGTATGAGACAGTGACCGCAACAATTTTACTCCTCAGATAACATTCATGTGACTGTTGAAAAATCAGCCATTAGTGAATTACTTTACAGGCCATTAAATGTACCTTACTTAAAATGATAAAGTTCTTTTGCTTCCAGACTAAATTGAATCCAACTGGCCTATGTATTTTAAAAAGGAGAGGAGACAGACGGAAATATTCACAAAGTTGCTATACGTATAAATAAATACATCTAACATCATTTCGTCGTCAACCGAAGCTACCTGTTGGTGACAGACGGCCGGAGGGCATGAACTTTGACTCAATCAATAAAACCAGCCAGTATTCGTATTTATCGCAGTCGTCTGGACTGTCGACTACAGTTGTATTAATAAACTGATCTGTAGATACTTGAATAGGGGCCTGGTTCCCGTCCTCCCTGAAATGTTGACTAGAAAAATTTTATAGGTACTTACAATTCAGAAAAACATGTAAAATGAATCATCACTATTAAGTTATATAAGATACTTGTGTTGGGGCTGCTTCGCTTATTCCCTTATTTAAATCTATACTTAGACAAGAACTCATGCTAATACACTAATATTAAAGATAAACATGTAGGTATATAAATATATTGCAGTATGTTGTAGACTTTTTAAATACCTGTCAACGATCGAATGGTATTACTAGGTGAAGGGTGTAGATTCCAATGTTGTACTGTAAGGTATTTATTTATCTATATAAATATTATAAAGAGGTAAAATTTGTAAGTTTGTATGTTTCTAAGTTTTCATGTAGGGGGTAATGCCAAAATTCTTTAACTAATAGATAGCTACAATGTTCCTGAGTGCCATAGGCTATAAAACAACACGCTAAGATTAAATGGAGCTGAGCAGCGGGTGAAACCGCGCGAGTTTAGCTAGTTGCTTATAATGTGCTTAACTTCTGTGTTACTTGTTGTCGTCTGTAATAAGGACATTTTAATTTCATAAAACGTAGACATTATGATTATGTATAAGACCTAAAATAATGTCTTATCCACGAGATCACCAAAGCATTAGTGGTCAACAAATAAATAAATTAAATTCACAGTAAAAAAAACACAAGCTAACTGCCTGCTGTAGGTAGGTACATAGTGTATTCATCGCTCCCAAACGGTCTATGAACTTATTATCCTATGTAAAAACCATCATTGTCACTTTAGATAAGTGCCAAAATGTACATAACATCATATTTCATCTAATTAAGTGGTTAACACTTGTCCATATGTTGGCAGAACATCAGAAGGGTCGTTGGCATCAACAAAGGTCTTAGAACTACAGTATATTTACCTAGAACCATAGATATTTTATATTTCTGTGCCTAGAACTAACGTCACGTAATTTTTTTCGTAGTCCTGTCTATATATCATTCATAATAGAAAAACCTCTCGTAACGAATAATATTTGCTTATTATTCCTTGTATGTAATAATTATGATAAAAAAGTTTAAATTAAAATTAAGTACTAACTTCATAAAAAAAGAATGGCAGTTATGTCATTATCATTGTTCCCAAGAAGAAAGCAAAAAGAAACAAGAACAAAACAATACTTTTACATTGCACTAAATACGTCAACCCTTGCAAGTTTAGGGATGGGCCATTAATTTTTTAAATTTATCGATACCTATCGAAAAAAGACGTTAAATAATACAATTTTGTCATTATTATTTGATTATGACAATTTTTATTGTAACTAATCAATTGTCAATGACCAGTCATTTTGTCATTCTCATACGTCTTAATGAGGAAACGTCATTAGATAAAAATTACGTAGTAATGCTATTTCGGGGCGATTACTACGGAAAACACCTGTTGGCATGGCATCAGGGAAGGCCGTTGGCACACGACTGTAAGATCAGGCATTCACCTCCGTTACTTTCTTCTATGACTAACCGAGGCACGCTTAACAGTCTAGACTTTTGTATTTACCCTGACTACGTATAATTACTTTAAAGCTCAATTTAGCGTTTTCGAGAGCTATGATTCCTCGCTTGAGTTCGATTTTTAGTTAAATTAACCAAGGGAAGCTATATAATGAACATACATATTAGTCAAAACAAGTCAACTTATTTAAGACGGAATAGCGTTGTGCAATCACATGAAATTACGCCCTAAAACCTTAATGACGCGTTTGAATTATTATCTAGTTTTGCAAATGAAATAGAAAAATAAATTGTTGTAAATCAATCTACAAGCAGGGTACCGCTACTATCCACCCCATAGTTCTTTGTTCGCAATAGTGGCGTGCTAGGGGGTATTAACCTCTTCTATTTCAGTCGTCGTGGGCGATAGGGTGCGTCGCCCTCGAAGACGACCTCTCTCCATCGGGGTCAAGGATGTAGGAAATTAACGTTTACGATTTTCCTTAACGGTATACCTACCATCACTTGTATTGCTTTGTCACGATTCGCTCGTGCATGCAGCTGTTAAAAACTGTATTTATTTGGACTTTAGACTCTGAGCAATATACTTTCATATTGCTTCGAAGAAATTTTTTGGATGTTTGTATACTATGTGAAATAAAAAGATATCAAAATTTCTCGAATCATTGTATGTACTAAAGCCTTCCTTTTGCAAATAATATAAAAAACAAGTATTGTTGAAATTTAAAAATGTCTACCTGTACCAGTGTTTGACCCATCCATCACTATCACAATGCATGGCACTCGTTTACGTCACAGATAGTGCTGTGACCTTAAGATAATTATCGGTCGACGCCTCGTCTCACGTAGCCTTATCGATAACTGACTACAACAAAGCAAGGACATCACTTGCCGAGCCTATAAATACCATACCAAGTAATTTGATGCCAAACGATTTTCCTCGATTTTTAAGTATTTAAGTAACCGCTAACTGCCTCCAGTTGAGCAACTGAAGTCAGCTTATGTAGCCGCGATAAATGCATGCATGTTCTGTCACAGAATTGTCCTTAACTCGGTTCGGCACATGATATTAAATTACTTATGCAATTTTAGGAAACTGGTTTTGCGCAATATTTTGCATTGGTTGGAACGCGGAAAATTCTTATTTTAAATTTAAATTTTTCCTTATCTTTCTTATCAATTCTTAACGGTGGGTTAACAACTGTGGTATTGAAGAGTTCCGGTAATGTTGCTGGATAAATATTGACTGAGTTTCTTAAAATCCGCCACGTTGTGTTGAAAAGATAATCCATAAATAGGAGGCAAACAAAGCAGCTCGTCTGGCGTATCGTACAAATGACCGCTCGGCCTTGTCTAGGCCACGGTGACGCCATCTTGCGTGCTGATGAACTCCTTTTATTAGGACACCAAATTTATATTCGTCTCGCTCTAAAATACTATTTCACTATCCAAATGAAAGAGATGGAAGTTTTCGATCGTAGCAAAATTTTATAATAGAATAAGATAGACGTTAAACTGAATAGATTAGAATGAAGACATTATGTTTTTTTAAGTTCTTGTTTTCTTTGTCTCGTTCAGTAGTTGCGCGACGAAATTAAGCTACTGATTGCAGCTTTTTGTGGAAATAACTATATGTTAGGTAAATAGCAAGCAGGTTTGAATAATAAAGGGGTACGACAGTAACTGTTTCTAAACACTGTAATGGTGCAACCTAGACAAGCTATAAGTTGTGTAAGTAGTGGCTAATTGCGTTGCCAAGGCGACTGCACTGCAGCCTGTCTGAGTGTCTGATAGCGATAACTGAGAAATGTCTGGGGGCAAGGGACTTTATTGGACGCTAATTGGCCCGCCAGACGGTAGTAACTGATACCTACCCTGCATTATACATATTATGTACTAAATAAACGTTTCGACATTCCGCACGAATGATTTATATAGTTGAATGGACAGTGTACACAGCAGTATTGGGTTGACTTTAATTCGAACGGTAAATTGTGAGTCATGTTTTGTCTGTATCGCAATAGGTTTCATATTTAATTACTCAACTTTGTCCATAATACACTCATCTCACACATTATCGAGTGCGCTGCCGGGGCTCGGTATTGGGAGCGGCGGACCAGTCCTGCGCGCGAAAGGCGAAATGCTCGCGGCCGGCCGGTCGCTACAACCGGCTCCGTGAAGGCCGCACAACGCCCCTCCCCCACTCCCTTCTTTGATTGTGCTAGTGACTGGTTTTATCGATAACTTACCGTGTAATCCGAACAATAGAAGCAGGTATTCGATACTGATAAAATGTACGTTTTTCTTTTGTATAATATCAACGATATGTAATAGGCGAATGCTGTTTTCATTAACAAACTGTTCATTTGTTACAAGTTACATTTAAAATAACGAACGTATTTAATTAAAAAAGAAGTTGTATTGTAAAATCGGCAATTCATTCAGTAAGTGGGTATGACGCGTTCCGTCGCTATCGCGACCGAGCTTCGCCCTCGTAAACAGAATGCCAATGACACGAGGGGTCGAGAGGCGTATCGATAATAATACCGCACGCTATCGCGCAGCACTGGGTGCGCTCGCAAGGCCGCGACGCGACGCGTCCACGTCTCGTGCGTGTACACAAACACACTGTTTCAAAACGTCCGACACTTTATTCCAAATTCGATCATAGCCACGCGCGGATCGAGCTTCGACGTTTTGGCCTCTTTTTTTATTTAAAAGCATTTTGCATGTGTTTATTACTTTATGGAGAAATCAGTTTTACAATCTCGTGTAGGTTCATTAGATCTAGTGTTTTTTTAATTATTTTTTACATCTTTAATAACAATAAATAAAAGTTGATTTGTTTTTGTTCCAGGTTACCCAAGATGCTGGTTTTATCATCTGGCTGTAATCCTCTACATCCTTGCTTAACATTCGACAAAACTTGGCCTCTATACGAACAACATTCATTGAAGAAAATATGTAAAAGGACCACGGCCACTGCAAGACTGAATCCAAAAGTTGCCTTAAAAATGAGCGGCGACGCAAGATGATGAAACGCTCAGACTTATTTTTATACTAATAAAAACATTATGCGGAAAAAGCAAAATAGTTTTTGAAAAAAATTTTGAGCAGTATTTTTCTATGAATTTATCATAGACGAACTTTGTGTGTGGTGCTATAATAGTGTAGTGAAGTGACATCGATCATATCGATAAGGACAACAATATCGATAATTTAGTGACGTGAGAGTGGTGATGGTGTGAGGACTGGATGGTGATGAGTACCGCGATGAGCAGTGAGGGCGACGCGGTGAAGGTGGAGGGGGGACACGTGTCTGTCACCACTATCAGCATGTCGGGTCCGGAGACAAGCAACGGTGAGCCTTTTACTGCACATTTTTCTTCTTTTTTATTTCTTGTATACTTTTACAGGAAAACTCAAATAGAAAATAAAATTGTAAAATTCTCCATGTTAAATGAATATACGCTGTACTTCTGTCATTTTATTTTCACGATTGTTTATTTACTCGGCACTTGCGAAACTTTCCGATTGGAGCCGTTGAACTTATTGCTTACACAATTTTTATAAAGTTTTCCATTAGTTTTTGTGATATTATCTGATTCATGTGTGATATTGATAAGTATCTGGTTTTCGCCGGTTGGAAATGCAATGCGTTTATCAGATGTTCGTTCGTACTTTGGACGTTTTTATTTTATCATGGCGCTTAGTTCTAAATAATTGCACTTCAATTTTGTGAATACGCCTCGAAAGTAAAAGGGCTTAAGTGATATACTGATAAGTTAGCAATGTTGCGTTTTATTTTGTTGTCCAGACGGATTAAATTAGAAGTGTTAGAATAATATGATTTTATTAAATTTAGATTGTTAGTAGTATGATTAGTTTGTTATTAGTCTTTTCGGAAGTCATAAACTAATGAATAAGGCACCAAATAGGTTGTAGCTTACCTATGTTAAAAATAGGATTGTGTTCCATTTTATAAAACGTTTGAAGATTCTATAAAAAAAGAATAAAAAAAAATAAATGACATCCATTTTCAAAAAGAAGTTTAAAAGTTTTATTATAAACTTCTTTAAAAAATGCTTTTCCCTAATTTCATTCGCGCTAAATTTATAAAAAAAAAACTACCGATTAAGAAAGTTCGCAACATTTTTTTAATTTGAACAAATTATTATTCATTCTTTAATGGCCGTTGAAATGCGACCAGTTTTCAAGTACTCAAATAATTTGATTTTAACTGACATTGACTTCTATATAATAATATAAATAGCATTCATTTGTACCTCATTTGTTATCAGTTGCGAAAATGACGTCAGTTTCTTAATGGAGATCCGAATTCCATTATGTAGCGATTAAACATTTGACTAAATTACAAAGTTTAAAGAAATGTAATAAACTTAGCTTTTCAAGCTGGCTTGGCAACTACCTGCTTGGCAACATGTCCCGCAACAGCTAATTGTGTGATCGACAAATAGTTCTTACGGGTCAAGGTTTTATATGTATGTGAATTTATATTTTTTTAGACCACCTTTTATTATTTTAAGGCTTCCTCTTGTATCTTGTATCAAAACTTTCATATGACATAGTTAGTACCTACTTACAGACACGCTCGATTAGTTTCAAGCCACGCAGGGGCTCATACTCATGAGTAGCATTGCGCGAAAAACGACGTAGTGAACGTCGATGAATTTCTTAGACATATTATGCATTTATTTTATCTTAGCATTACATTGGCATGGCTTTCTCTTCCCTGCTATGCGCCATTTTCATTCCCTAGTCTTCGTTTAGCATTTAATCATTGAATGCAGACGCAATACAAAACCACTGAACAAAGACCACCCTTAATAGAGCACATTATTATTCTTGTGATGTACATAAAATAATTATTGTCAATAATAGGTCACAATAAGATGATTTTATTTCTAAGTCGTCACGTGTAGCGCTTACCTCATATTGATAAACGCGAACGTGCCTTACGTAAATACAGTTATCTACATCTTACTACAGCTAATAATAAAATTATAATAATAACAAACAATAAACATTCTTCACATTCGAATCCACGATTGAACAAGGAAGTTAAAAATACTTATAAATTAATAAACAAAAGTAAATAAATAAAAAAAAATATTGATTGTGTATTTACATTATCATGTTTTTTTTGTAACATAATACAAATAACTGTCAACTACTTAAATGCTTTTCTATGTTCATAATACAAATCATCAGCCTAAAAGGGCTTACTGCTGAGCAAAAGCTTTTTCTCACACGGTTGCTACTCTCAAACTCGTAATTAGAAATTATGAGTCCAGGTTTCCTCACGATGTTATTAAATTAAGTTTCTAATATTTTTCCCCTTAATTAACTAATGTATTTTAATTTTCATCCTGTCATTATTTATATTGAGATAAATATATATTTGTGTAAATATTTTTTATTGAAAGGGTAACAAGTTATAAGATCTAAAAAACTATTATTCGCAGATTTAAAAATTTATCAGTTCCGAAAATTATTTCGATTTCGAAATTCCGCTGTAAATACTCATCGATGATTAATTTCAGTATGAATGGCGTGATCGTTTAATTATTTGAAGCCATAAGAGATTGTTCAATTATTATCAAAATTTTCATACCTACAGAGCTTATCACCGGATTTATTCATTAAATACCTTTAGTTAATGAAAGATAAAATATAAAGTGAAAGTGGTAAAATTATTTCTAGAATAATAATATGAGACGTACAGTTTAAATAGAAAAAAAAACTCGCGTGGTTTTAAACCAATGAGTCCCGATTTCAAAAATTCATTCTATTCCATTTTCATTTGGAAGCTATATTCGGCCTGCGTAACATAGGCTATATTTATTGCAAGAAAAGATGAATGACCCTTGCTAAGGTTTTTGAGTACCCACCGTAGCCAGTTTTTTGTTATAAAACTACAAAAGTATCTGTACAATTATTAGTATGTAATTTAACCTCAGACCTGGTAGTGTACAGCCAGGGTGGCAGGACTTGCAGGTTAAGAGCAATAATGCATCGCATCCCTAGCCTGGGGCAGGAGAAAGAATGGGATGGTTTTAGTCAGTAAGAGTTCCTAACGTGCTCTCATGCTAACCACCCTGTGGGTGGGAGAATGAACATATAAGACGTGTTGATATAAATAATACACATAATACATGGAGTTACTATAACAATAAAAAAAATACTGATAATAAGGTCCTTGAACTTGCTCGGGAGACCTGAAGTCGTTTACTTATCTTACATACATATATTATAAAAGATTTTCCTGTATTTAAAATATTTCAATTAAAATTAACGCTACGCCATATGAAACGGGGTGTTTTTTCAGTTTGTAACATAAATTATAAAGATAGCTACTTCTTTTTCTAATGAACACCTCTTCTGTGAAAAATAGCTGCATTTATATACATACATATCCTTATTCTATTAAGTGTCTAAAAGTCTACAAGTACCTATATTTTGATGACTCAATCTTTTTGCCGAAAATGCATAACAAAATATGATTTTCGTTCTTGGCACGGATAGCTACAAGGTCCTTTTTTATTTGATTGTAATCTTCTTTCCCATATCCTGTTTGCCTGATTATAGGTCGATGCTTTGTTGAATAATATCATCATTTACTTCCTACCTTGAAAATCATTCTCTGCTATCAGAAAGGGCATAAGCTAGATTCAGTACCTAGATTACAATTTAAAGAAACTCATATCAAAATACCAATTAATGCAATTTAACGATATTGTTATTGTCATATTTTCATATTTTACATTGAAGACTTCTATGTTTTCAAGAATGAAAAGTTAAAAACGTTATTTCCCGGAGGAAACTAAGTAAGAGTCTTTGTTTGAACGCGCTAATTACAGACCTACTGGAAAGCTCAAAAGTTCTATCCAAGTAAATGCTAACAAAACTGAACAAAGAATGTGGTTGAAATCGCTGGAAGAATGCTCGGGTCCTACTTTAGTTTACAGCTAATGCATTCCTGTTTAGGTCCATTCCTACAAACGAGACTGTTCAGTGCCCAATGAATTATCCTTTCTGCCTTACCCAAGCCGGAAATCTTAAAGTTATTAAATTGCTCGAAAAATGCATTCTCAGAATTCAAGTGACTGTCTTATGCATATTAGTACTTAGGTATGTACCTAACTACTTAAAAATGGAAACACGTTTGAGCGTTGAATAAATTTCTTGGTAATTTGGCATTGTGCTTGTTATTAATAGCAGATACCGGATCGAAATGTGGTTGCACATTTTCAATTTAAATATAATTATTAATAAGTATATTATTTCCGTGGATATATAAATCATCTAATATTTTCTGTAGGTAAAGGCGCCCTGATCTTACCTCCTCTACCTATAATATTAAAATAAATTGCTGTTTGTTATTCTCGTTAAAAGTCGAAAAGGCTGAACCGGCATGGATTATTGTGGTCTTGAAATAATCCTGGATGTAAAGGGAAGGTTTAAAAGGTCAGGAAATTGGACAAAATTTAAAAATAAATTAGTTATATTTGAGGCTAAACGAAGTTTGCTTGGTCAGCTAGTAAATCTTTATATATAAAAATGGATCGCAAAATGTGTTGATAAGCGCATAACTCAACAACGCCTGGACCATTTTGCTGATTCTTTTTTGTTATGTTCGTTATTTTTATGTAAAGGTTCTTACTAAAGAAAACTTTAGAAAAGTAAAGGGGAATATCGGGAATTAGCAATCCTTTCTGAGCTGTGGTCGTTTGCTAAAAAAGTAAGTGACTGACGGGGTAGTCGGATACTTACCCGTGCGAAGCAGGGGCGGTCCGTTAGTTAATAATATAATTGACAATCGCCAAATGGCATATCAGACACTGCAATGAGCCCAAAGCAATTACGTGCCTAAAAAAACTAATGAATCAATTAAATCAAGTCCTACGTGAGGTCCAAGACCTTTACTGATTGATGACATTAGCTTCATGATTCGTATGATTCACAATGACTTCAAGTTGGTTAATGATCATGATTATTATAATTCCAGGTCAATTCTCGTACAGTTCGAGCGGGGTGCGCATCAGTGTGTCTTCAGTGCCTCATGATGAAGACTCTACTGATGCTGAAATCTCCAAGATCGACTTCACACAACATCAGTACGAGGTAACTAGAATTATGTTCTTCACTGTTCTCTAATAAACTGACTACTTTTCATATAACCACGGTCTATTCGAGATAGAAGATGAATTACAAATATTAAACAAAAAATGCAATAGACGAAGTGTGGCAGATTCACGCTTGGGCACGAATAGGTCAGCTCGACCGGAGTGGTATCACGGCCTACAGAAAACCCCCGTGAAACAACAACAGCGCTGTTTATGTGAGTTTACTGGCCTAATTCCTTTCCCTCTCTTATCCCACCGCAATCCTCAAATCTCCGATACTCTAATCCCAAAAGGCCGTCAACGCACTCGCAACTCCGGTAATCCTCCTGAAACCACATGAAAAATAAGACGACTCATAAGCTGTATGTTTATATATGCGATAAATTACTAAAAATAATAAAAAAAACTAGACGTAGTTATGAGCGTCATTATAAATTGGATACACAAATATTTTTTAAAGAAAGTAATGATACACTCAAACCATTTGGCAGCGTACATTCATGTCAAGTGCAAGCGATGAATTTTTGATATGACATTGATGATAACTGACCATCACAACAGTTGTTGATTGACCACCCAGTAACTCCTTGAACTTTGTTAGTGACGGATGTAATCAGTCATCGGTTGTTCTCTTTTATTGATCTTTGCACAATGCGGGCACTTGAACTCAATAGTAATGTCTCGAGATGCAGAGTCAGTAAAGATTGAAATCCCAGCTCGATAAGAATGCCCCTTGATCGTAACTAGCGACCTGCCCCAGCTGTGTAAGGGTGAAATGCTGACACAAAATTTCACCACAATTTAACACGTGATAAATCGGAATGTAGATTTAAGTAAGACTATTTTCTATTACGTCTCATAAACGGACAGACGAGAGGTTAATTGATGTTATTATACCTTCTTCTTCAATAATTTTATTGATTAAAATAATCACATCAAAATCCGTTGCGTAGTTTTACAGATTTGTGCATACCTTAATACCATAATTTTAAAGATTTAAGAGTCAAAAATGTAGGGACAGAGAAAGCGACTTTTTTATACTATGTAATGATTTTGTAAATAACATTTCAATGGGATTCTTTTAATTTGGGATTGGGGGAGAGAAAGGATTGGACATCTGGTTGTTACGAATGCAACAAATAGAGTGTTGTTTTTGATTTCAATGATTTCATTGATCACAGCTTTAATTGTTTTGTTATTAAATTTTAGTTCATATTTATAGTAAACACTGTGTTTTCCAGGTTAACATGCGTAACAAGAAGAAGCGTTCATTGAGCGGTGCGCCAGAAATGTCCAGCAATGAACGAGAGCGACCTATGTCCTGGGAGGGAGAACTCTCCGACTCGGAAATGGTCATAGACACCGGTGGCAATAATGGTTAGTATTGCCTTACTTATTAACTTAGTTATAAAATGGTTTACTCTCGTAGGTATTCAACGAAATTACTCGACTGATTTCAAGCCACGCCGGAACCCTTAAACATGAGTAGCATGCGTGATAAGTTACGTTACTAAGCCCTGTAGATGTAACGTAAATAAATAATTTAATTATCTTACTACAGTTTTGGTGCCATATACTTATTACGTGAAGTTATATCGCTAATGATGACAATCCCTCCGATCCTCAGCCTCTGAAACAACAAAAAACAGTTTATTGATAAGGATTTATGTCTATGTATCCAATTTAAGGACAAACACATCTCAAATAAAGTCTGAATGCCCGTTTGTGCATACCGCTCCCGTAAATACAAAGTCATTCATAAACAATTCGTAGAAAAATGTAAATTAACTAAGTTCTTTATTATCTTCTATCTTCACAGATGAGAACAGCAGTTCCCTAGACCTCCAATCGTCAAGGGATTCAATCGACACCCTTCGCAATGTCAGCATAAAGACGGAACCAGTCAAGACTGAGGGCTTCCAAGGTTTGGATGAGCAGCGTGTTCTGGATCTGAAATACCCCAGTGCCCCATTGCAGCCACACCAGCGGAGTCTTAGTATGAATAGGGTAAGAAATGATAGTATTTTATGCCTTAATAGCCTAGCAGGAATCTGCACATTATACATAACTTATATGCTGGTGATAAAACTATTTAGAGAACGTCCGACAGTTCTGTTAGCGTCAGTGGCGACCTACCTTATATTGTGAACTGCCAAGATTTTTGTGAAATACATTGTGTTTATACTAGTATTATCTCCTGTGTCGTAGGTGCGTTTACAAACATACTAATTGACATTCAGAATCCAGTCAGACCCGAAACGACAATTTATGGATTACAAAAAGTATTGTTTCGTGCGGGAATCAAACTCGCGACATGTTGCATAGCAGCCTGTTGCCCGGCCATTGCGTCAACCGTGCAGTCGTATGAATATAATTTTCTAAACGAGATCACTGATTGATTAAGTTGTCTTCCAGATATCAGTCCTCACAGATGGCTCATCCCTCTCTCTAGCCAGACGGCCGTCCTCTCCGACCAGTAGTGCGAAATCCCTCGCATTAAGTGACCAAGGGTCAGCACATATGCCACATACGGGACTCGACCAAGTACAGAACCTGACCATCAAGAAGGAAACTCAGTTATCAGGTAAATTCGCTATTTGTTAGAAATATCTGTGTTAGAATAATACGTCTGCTCGTTTGCCGACCTATGCCATGAAAATGTCGCTAGCAGTTTTTTTTTGTCTATCAATATTTATTAAACCTCACCTACTAAGAAGAATAATTACAAATATTTTAAGCTTTAGCAGAACTAATTTTACTATACTATTTTTATCTTCTAGTTTTTTAACAACTTTGGTTAGCGCTGATTTTTAATAGTGAGATAAAATATGTACGATGTGAGGAATAAAATAGTTGCTGTCACTGTCTTATACGAGATATATAAGTGTGGGAGAGCCATGCTTCGGCACGAAGGCACGAATGGGTCGGCTCGTGGGTCGGCTCGACCGGAGTGATACCACGGCCTCACAGAAGACCGACGTGAAACAACCACAGCGTTGTGTTTCGCCGTGTGCGTGAGGTTACCGGAGGCCCAATCCTTCCCCGCCCCCAATCCCTCCTCAATCCCTAAATCTCCAAATCCCTAATTCCTAAAAGGTCGGCAACGCACTCGTAACTCCTCCGTTGTGGGTGTCCATGGGCGGCGCTGATTGCTTACCATCAGGTAATCCGTCTGCTCGTTTGCCGACCAATAACATAAAAAAAAAAAAATACGAACATTCTGACGCGACAGCATCATAATTATTCCCCAGATAACTTTTACTAACCATTGAAAAATCAGCTCTTAAACGAACATTTTTGTTTACAGAATTAAAATGCGAGCAGTCTGTGGGTATGGACAAGTTGATAGGCGCACTGCACGGCTCGCCCCTGCTCGGCCGACTGCCGCGGGTACAGTCGAGCGCCAGCACGGATTCCGCCGTACACTCCATGTATACACATAGGTACTTATAGTAAATTGTTTTTTTTAATATTTTACATTTTTTTTATTTACCGTCACCAAATGACACTGGCAGGATAGTCGATTACAATAATAGGAGACTCGACTACCATCGAGGAAAGAAAAAAAGATCTTTACGGATAAGGTCGGATAGAGCGGTTGTGGATTTTTCGATTTATGATTATTGTTTATCCTGTGGATTAGCTAATATCACTGAATTTGAACGTTTTAACCTACTTTGATATCATAACTGGTATCCTCACATAATGTGTAGGTAGGGGGTGGGCACCTCTTTCCACTTCTTTAGAGAATTTCGGAAATCGGAAAACACTCATATATTTACCTTTTCTTTGGGAGACAGGTAAGTATAGACACTTGGCCTGAGACCAAGTGATACCTACCGCAATAGAGTCTATGTTTAATTGTATTTTTTAAATTAAATATTTATATCTATTCCACCGATTAATTATTAACATTTGTCCCCCAGTGTATATAGCAGTCCATCAGCGAGTCCGCGCGCCTCCCGGCACTACACTCCGTCCCTCTCCCGCAACAACAGCGACGCCTCGCACTCCTCCTGCTACTCATACAGCTCGGAGTTCTCCCCAACACATTCCCCAGTACAGGTAATACGGTAGTTTCTAACTAGTCAAATTCAATACTTTTATCAAACGATACTCGTCCAAATTAATTTTGTGACAAACTTCAAATGATGACGTCATAGTATTTTTTCGTCAAATAACTTACTTATTTTTCTTAAAAAATAGCCAAGAAATATCGAAAATTTTGTGTAGAGACACATCGATGAATAAAATAATATTTATTTTTCAATATCTTTTTGTATTGGAACGTCGAATTAATATATTTGAGACTTAGAAAACTGCTCAATTAATATTGATTGATATAACATACTTATTAATAGATTTATAAGTGTCTATTTAAGCATCTATCGAGTGAAAAATATGATAATTTTCATGTTTTGTTCGTTTCGTTTTCTGTTATTTTCTTTTGGGCTACCGTGTGCTTGTTTTATGATTAACTGTTAAATAATGTCTTAAGACACTAAGTCCACCATTCAGACTGTATTAAAGAAATAAATAATTACTTTTCCCCTAGGGTCGTCATCCACACGTAATGTATCGAGAAGCGGCGGCTGCATACGACGGTACTCATGAAGACGAACCTGATGCTCCTGAGGATAGGCTTCATCATCACCAGGGTATTAGCAGACAACAGCTTATTAACAGGTAATACTCACTGTTCACTGTAATGACGAAGAACTGGTTTTTTTTTAATTATCTCGACGCGTACATAGAGGAACAGATTCTTTTGATAGTTCTGATAATGTTTTAAATTGTATTATTTTACTTACTATCAAATAAAAAATATCAGAGCTCACTTAACTTATCAGACTCAAACAAAATAAAAAGGTTCTGTTACAAGAAAAAGTGAACTATTTTTGCTTCGAAATCCTACAACCTTCGACAATTATGTAATTTGACCTGCACGGTTGGTGCAGTAGCCGGGCAACTGGCTGCAACGTGTCGCGGGGTTCGATTCCCGCGCGGAACGTTACCTTGTGTGGTCTAAAAAATGTTGTTTCGGGTCTGAGTATCTTGTGTATGTAAATTTGTATGTTTGTAAACGCACCCACGACACAAAACAATAAAATAACACAAAAAATAAAATTATATATTGACATTTTTCTCTATCCCACAGTCCATGCCCAATTTGTGGGGACAAGATCAGCGGTTTCCACTACGGCATATTCTCCTGCGAATCGTGCAAGGGTTTCTTCAAGCGAACAGTTCAGAACCGCAAGAACTACATGTGTCTCCGGGGTGGAAACTGTCCCGTCACCGTCACCACCAGGAAGAAGTGTCCAGCTTGCAGATTCGATAAGTGTTTGGGATGCGGCATGAAACTTGAAGGTATGTGTACTAAGCTAATGTAATCGTAGCCTTTATTGCTATTAGTATTAAGTTCAAAGTCTTAGTCAAATCATTTATTTCAATTAGACTAAATTTATGTTATTTTTGACTAAAATTATTATTGAATTGTTCACCTGATTTCTGATTTTATTATAGATATTATTATTTGACACCATTCCTTAGTGATACTTAATTTAAAGACATTTCGAATCTATTTTCTTTGTTTACCTTTTGTACCTGAATTTGTGTTGAATTGTTTCCAGTAAAAATAATAAATTAAATACAAATTGACACTCCAATGACATATAAACCGTTAAATATTAAAGGAGGAGAAACATTAAATTACATTGGGGGAAACTTTTACTGACTAATAATTTCCCCGCTGCTTCTCTTGCTATAGGCTGAAGCTGTGGTACATTGACGCTTAAATAACGAGAACTCCTCCTTTGGGCTACTTCCTCGTATAGTAAATGATATTACTCAATGTTTATAATTCTTTAGCTTCTACATTGTAGTGTATAGTATTAATAAATATGTTGTTGTTGTCCAGCAATCCGCGAGGACCGCACGCGCGGCGGTCGGTCGACGTACCAGTGCTCGTACTCGCTGTCGGGCGCCGCCAGCACGGGCTCGCTGCTCGCTGCGCACGCGCCGCCTACGCTGCGACACGCCTCCAGCCTCACCAGCGTAAGTTACTATCATAAAACTTTACATCATCACCCAATAAGTACACACTGCTGAGCAAAGGCCTCTTCTTACACGGAGCAGGGTTGAGCATTAATCACCACGCTTGCTAAAGGCCGATTGGCGATTTCAAGCGTATAAGTCCAATTAATCATAAAAAATACCTATGACTCGTAATTTTAGTCAGTAAGAATCGCAGTGTCGGACTCTTACTGTCTAAAAACCAGCCAAGGTACATTATAACGCTTGTACACGCAACCCTGCGTACTATTAAAGTTCTTCGCTACACAAATTATAATTTATTTATTCATTTTTGGCAGGTTAACGGCCCCGGTTCATACAGCAGCCGAGGCGAGTCTAGCAACAGCCAAGTGACGCCAGATATACCGCCGTTATTGCAGGTAAATATCGATTCTCTCTATTAAGATATAGTGCTGATTTACATATACTTCTGTATAATGTAGATCATATTTCCTCTTTCGTTTTCTCTTTTATTATTAATTACAAAGTGTCTATTGTTGAGCAAAGCCTTCTTCTCACAATCGCTCAAGTTGGATTGGCGATTTCAAAAACGTATATATCGGAATTAGTCACACTAGTACTTATCAGGTTTCGAAAAAAGAACTTTCCTGCTTGGAAAGCTAAAATTTTATATATTTGAACTGCTTCTAAAGTTTATATTTTTGGGGAAGAACAGTTATAAATACTGTACGGTGTTCACCTTACACCTTGTTAATTATTGTTGTGGACTGTAAATCCATAGGTCGCTGGTTCATATCCGGCTCGAAGGACCATAAAGATGTACGGTGTTCACCTTACACCTTGTTAATTATTGTTAAAATGTTATGAGTACCGCGCCGCGACCCTAGTTAGGGAGTTTGATTAAGTAAAACGATGTTTACTGTTTCACGGGTTTATTTGTACTAAAATAACTTATTGCTAAGTAGAGCGCGACGCACAGCATAGTAAGTGCAACGTCAGCATTATTACTAAACAATACAAAATGTACGGGTTTGCTCGTACAAATACTAATCATGTCCTTGCACCTTGATCTTTCGTAACATAACAAAGAAGCTCGCAAAAATTGATAGGGACTCCTATAATCTCCAAACAAACACAATAATTTTTCTCGTTTTTTTTATAAATCTGTGTTATTTAATTGTGTTAAGGGTCATTAACTTCTTACTTAGACCAACGCGATATGCGATATAACCTTTATACTTATATTACTTTTCTTTTCTCCTCCAGGAAATAATGGACGTGGAACATCTCTGGCAGTACAATGAATCTGAGCTAAGTAGACTTGGCAAGTCGACGGGCGGTAGTCCGTCCGCCAACCCCCTTTTGGCGGCCAGCGGGATCACGGCGCATAACTCGAGCCCCGACTTCTTGGCAGACCTCTGCAACATCGCCGACCATCGCCTCTACAAGATCGTCAAATGGTGTAAAAGCTTACCACTATTTAAGAATATTTCGGTGAGTTATTGCAATAATTAATCTATATATATATATACATGTACTTACTAATTTTATAAAGAGGTTATTGCAAGTTTGTATGTAGGATTGATCTTTAGAACTGCTGCTCAGATTTCCAAAATTCTTTCACTGATACTTATATATTAATTTTTCTGAGTGTTCTAATAGGTTATATTTTGTTCATGTCCACTTTGCCAGACTTCGTGGCAAGGTAAATAATGAGACTGTAGATGGTTAAGGTCTGTTTATTACTTTAATTGCTGGTGCTTATATACTAAGAAGATGCGTGAGATTTTCAGATTTAGCTATCCTAACAAACGTGCAACAATTAACATGTATGTCTTATCTCTATCGTATCTAAGTAATGTAGCGACGTGATAGTGCCGCTACATATACTCCCCCCTTTTAAAAATAATTAACATATAAATTGAAAAAAATTAGTATGTACCTAATTATATAATAACTTAACCTTGCTGATAAATTACATCCTATGCGTAATGTAATGTCATTGTTGCTAATTCGAAGGAAATAAAAACTGCTGCCTTTGTTGTGACGGCGGCGGCAGTCGATGAACTATCCACTGCATTTGTGCTGATTGTTTCTTGCTATTGTTTTCACTCTTCTGTCTAAGGTCTTCAGTATTCCGTAGAGAAGAAGGATGCCAATTGTGATGAGGATTTGTCCAATTGCAATGTTTCTCGTCCACCGTAGCTCTTCCAGGACAAGACTTTTGAGATGGTCGGCTTCATTTTGATTAAGGCAACTGTCGGAGTTATATACGATTTGATCTTTGGAGCTTTGGTTGCCCATTGTTCTCTCGTAGATACTGACGGTATATGATGGTATTTTCAAAATACGGTGAGTATTTAAATGGACTGATTACTTGTGTCAGCAAGTGACGAATCGTACTGTCGGCTTAACCGCCCGTCCTGACTTCGTGATGTACGTGTTCCGCCCGTTGTGATTATTTTCTGAATTTGGCACGTTCGTTCCACTATTGAAGACAAATGCAGGTTTTAATCGGTCTATAGATATTGCTTTTTCATTGTCCCCAATTTTAATGATAAACGTCTTATCTATCCTCTTTGTCACTAGAAATGGTCCTTCGTATGGTGGTGTTAAACTTTTCCTTATTCTGTCACAGCGCACGAATACATGTGAGCATTTGTTGAGCTCGGGGTGAATGAAAACTGTTTGTTTAATTTTCTTGCGTTTTGATGTTGATGTCATACGAGAAATGTCCTTTTGTATATTTGTGACAAATTCTTCGTATGTCGTATTCGCCGTGGCGTATCATTAGATGACGGTTTTTTTGGGAAAATGCGTAAGTCAAAGGTCGATGATCTGTAAAGATAGTAAATTCTCTTCCTTCGACTAACCTTTGAAAATGTTTGACTGCCATATATATTCCGAGCAACTCTCTGTCGAATGTCGAGTATTTTTGTTGAGTATCACTTAATTTCTTTGAAAAGAATCCTAATGGTTCCCAATTACGTCCTGACTTCTGCTGCAGAACTGCGCCAACACAGGTCGAACTGGCGTCCGTCATAAGTGCCAAAGGGGCGGTGCGAGAGGGGTGAACTGTTAATACTGCGTTCCTTATATTTTCCTTGGTCCTTTAGTGATAATATGATGCTTAATCTTGTGTTTTGGAGTAGTGTGGAGGGAGGCTGGTTTCGTAATATCCTCGTATTCATTTAATAGTTGAGTAATGCGTGGATTCGTCTCAATGTTAATAGTGCGGATTGTTTGCTGCGTCGATTTGATCAGGGTTGCGGGCGTTGTCAGCTCAGTTACCCTATCTATGAGTTTTCGACCAGCTATATCGACTAATAGCTTATAATGCTCTAAAAAAATCTGCTCCAATAATCGGTTGTGTTACATCGGCGATGACAAAGTTCCATACAAAGTTTCTTCGTAGCCCGAAGTTTAAAGAGAGTGTTTTTTCACCATATGTCTTAATTTTTGTACCATTGGCGGCATAAAGTATACATTGTTCATCTTGTATTAGTGAATGTCTCTGTGGCTTGCTAATAACTGAAATATTTGCTCCCGTGTCAATCAAAAATCTCATACCACTTTTTCGGTCGGTAATAGTGAGGCGGTTGGACGGGTGAATAGCACAGAGTTCCGCCGTTGTCCGTGCTTCAATTAGTTTCCCTGTTTCCTTGAGTTGAGATCCTGTTTCCAATCACAAGGTTGAACACACTTTTGTGCATATTTTTTAAATCTTCCATGGTAAAAACAAAAGTGCCTTCTTTCTCTTGAACTTGACTGTGGTAGGAAATGCCGACGATTGGAATAACTTTGAGTGCTGCGTCGATAGTTTTTTTGACCTTGCTGAATTGCATTTAGTTCCAATTGCATTTCTGCTAACTGTGCTAGTATGCATGACATTGTATCGTCGTCAGATTTGTTTCCGTTTACAGCTGACACCTCTGTACGTGTTGAATTTATTAATATCTTGTCCGCGATCTGGCTCATCTTGTTCACATCTATGTCTTCTGTGACTGCTAGAACCGAAGTCACTGATGGTGGCAGAAGCCTCAACCATAGAAGTTTGATGGTTTCGTCGCTGATATTTCCGTTACTCAGGGTCCGCATCTTGCGCAGAAGATGTGATGGTTTCTGGTCGCCGAGATCCATTTCAGACAATAATTTTTGGAGCTGACGTTGGTCTGATTCCTCATAGCAACTGATTAGGCGTTCTTTGATAGCCTTGTACTTTTCTATTGGCGGTGGGCAAGTAATGAGGTCACTAACCTGTATTATTTCTTCTTTTGGCAGTTTTGCAATGACCGTATAGTACTTGTAATCGTCTCCTTGCTTCTGTGGTGCTACTATGGCTTCTAGTTGCTTAAACCATAATCTGGGTTGGTCCCTCCAAAATTCCGGTTCCGGCTGATATCTCCAAGGTTTCTTGTTGGCTGCTGCTTGATTTGCAGGGTGAATGAGTTTTTAAAATGACATTATTGTGTTGAATCAGTTTCATAGATTGAAAATGTGTCAGAATAACTGTAATATAAATAATAGTCCTTATTTTTTATTGCCACTTAACAATTTTATTGTAAGTTACTTATATACATATACTATAATGCACAGTTTAGGTACTCATGTTAATTGTATTACGAATTAACTCGACACTACTCATACAAATGTGTCTCGACGTAACTCGACTAGTTTCAAGGTACGCCGGGGCTCATATTCATAATCGAGCATGAGTAAAATTAATGAGTGTATAGCTTTAAACATAATTCATAATTATTCTACGAAAGTTATAATAACATATTGAACAAACCTTGTAAAAAATATATTTTATTTTCAGATCGACGATCAGATTTGCCTGTTGATAAACAGTTGGTGTGAGCTTTTGGTACTGTCGTGTTGCTACCGCGGCGTCAGTACGCCCGGCGAGGTCCGCGTCGGAGGCGGGAGGGGTATCACTCTGCATCAGAGCGCCAAGTAAGCCAAACTTTTTTAATGAGATTGTTCGGCAAACGAGCAGACGGATTACCTGATGGTAAGCAATCGGCGCTGCCCATAGAGATACGTAATACCAAAGTAGTTACGAATGTGTAGCCGTTCTTTTGGTGATAAGGGTTTTGGATATTTAAGATTTCGAAGGGATGGGCAAGGGGAAGGATTAGGCCTCTTAGTCACTATTTGTTAAAAATAAAAATTTCTGTTTGCTTATTACTATTTTCGGAAGCAAGAGATGCCAGTGCCATTCCTAATATTACGCTTAAATAGTCATACAAGAGAGGAGGCTACGTCTAGCTAGACAAACGTGGTGAGGGTGCCCTCCACCTAGGTGGACTGGCGACATCCGCAGGGTGATTATGATGATGAGTAGTAGAATAAGGAAGGAAGTAATAAAATGTTTGAAAATTCATCCAGGTTGGGTCTAACGCCTTGCATTGAGCGCATGCTGAGTTTCACCGACCATCTCAGGCGGCTGCGGGTCGACCGGTACGAGTATGTCGCGCTCAAAGTCATCGTTCTACTCACTTCAGGTAAATATACCACTTTTGTATGAATTTTTATTGTTATTAGTACATAGATAGCCAAGGAGATTCATGTCAAAAAAATTAAAAAAGTATTTTTAACAGCGGATCAAACCGCACGAGATTTGCTAATAAATATAGTGTAAAGTGATGCCTTAACAATTTTTTTAAAGTCTCTATACTAGGACAAAAATCAGAAAAATCTTAATGGCGGGAATCGGACTCGCGACACGTTGCATAGCAGCCGGTATACAGCATACGGTAGTTTCCAACAAGTCAAATTCAATACTTTTATCCAAATGTCAAAAACGATACTTTTCTACGAAATTTGTATAAAAAACTGAGTTATGACGTCATAGTTTTTTTGGATCAAATAGCTTACCTACTTATTTCTTAAAAATTTGCAAAAAAATGTCTAAAAAATATTCAGTGTATTGATCGATCGATGAATAAAAGTATAGTTATTTTTCTTTTCAATATTTTATTTAGTAAACTACCTACCCGATTGCCCAGCTACTAAACCATCCATGCTGTCAAGATTGCGTTTTTTTTTTAATTTTCTAAATTAACATTATCGTTTATCCCTTTTTTACACAGATGCTCCAGATTTGCGTGAAGTGGAGAAAGTCCGAGCGTCCCAAGAGAAAGCGCTGGCCGCTTTGCAAGCATACATCGCGACACACTCGCCCGGCACGCCCGCCAAGTTTGGAGAGCTATTGCTACGTATACCTGAACTGCAAAGGACTTGCCAGGTGAGACTCAATTCTGTAATAACGAAATAAGGGTTATATTCGAGTGTTTAGTGGAATTAGTTGCGGTAGGATTGTGACTTACTGTAATAATATATAAACAGTTGTACTAAAGGTACATTGTCGTGGTGATTAGAAATTGAGGTGCCCGTTTCTCATGTATGAGCATAAATAACATAGTGATCCTTCAATTTTGTGGATGTGATGATTTCGAATAAATTCATTGTAGTATCTTCCATAAGGACTTCAAATTGTAACAATAGAATCTTTGCCTTATCAGGAAATTGAACATTGATGTGTCAAATCATACTGGTACTTAATATACACGCTAAAGTTTGTATGGTCGGATAAATGTTTGAGGCTGTACATTAGGTTTACAACTGGTCCATGGAAATTGGTACTGATATAGATTTTAGTTTGGAACAAAGTATAAAAATAACAAATCTCGAGCAATAATTGAATTAAATAAATTTAAGGCTAGTTTACACTACACCATTTACGACCATGCTAGTCAATAATTGCTTTAACTAATTATATGCAACAGCCAAGAAACTTGCATCGTGTAAATGGCGCTTAGTTCATTAGAAGAATAAAGATATTAATTAATATGATTCCTTCTTTCACAGTTCTTTATGCAAGTCGGTAAAGAAATGCTGAATCCGGCCAACAAGAGTAAAGATGGTGATGGACCAAGTTTCAATCTGCTCATGGAACTGCTACGCGGCGACCATTGACCTCATATAGACTCAAGCTCACCTCAAACTGACCTTAAGGTCAAGGTCATCACACGACATCCTCAAGGTCATCACAATACGACCTCAAGGTCAAAACCATACGTTGCTCAAGAATATAATAAGTGTATCCTCTCTAGAATGACAAGGTACATTAATACAATATCATCGTCGGTTAATGAATTAAAAAAACTAGTCTGCTCCCCTTTATTGGATTGCCTTAACAAGCCTTAAAATGTTTTGGAAAAATATACTCGGATAAGCGTGTTTTTCTATGACGATCGTCATCATCATGATCATGATCATCAATCAACGTAATTAACAAAATCTATCAATCATTTTTGACCTTGCACGTGAAAAGACTGCATTCGATAAAGTTTTCATCATACATACATACAAGACTACAAGTACAGTTAGCAGTGAAAGTTGTTATTGATATATTTTTTTTTCCTTTTTAGATAATAAATGCAACAATATTGCTATTAACTATAATAATTGAATACTATATTGATTTTTATTATTCAAATTGAATTTGGAACTCAATAATTTTTATATGAACTCAAAAAACACAATATGATAGATTCTATTTGCGTACTCATTTTGAAACCTGTACTTCTAAAATGCTGACTGTACATTATATTTTTAATCAGATTACATAAATTGATAATTTTATTTAACAAGGATGGTAAGGAGCTTAGTCTTTGGCCATTAATCAATTTATTATTTTGATAAAAAATAGATGTACCCACTTATCATGTGTTTCATAACAAATGACCTATAGTAACAAATAAGTGCCAAGCTAGCTAATAATAATGCATTTAATTTGTATGTCCGTCTGGTAAGCTCTCCTTAAACTTATAATATTATTTTTTTACAGGGCAAAAATTTTATGATATTTGAAAAATCTTTCCTTAGTGTTGCCCGTAACATAAATAACGCTTTACAACGACATGACGTTGTAATTAAACAAACACACTGCCACAAATTGCTTTTATATGTGTATTTAAGATTTTACTAAATGTAAGGCCAGGGAATTGATGGCTAGATAGTATTTACATAAAGTCAGATATAATTTTTTCACAATATTGTACAATACAAAAAAAATTACATATAAAATACTACTAAACATAAAAAATGACATTTTTTTAAATAAAATCATAAAATTTTCTATAAATAATGGATAATACATAAACACATATACTAATTCAACGAAATTTAAGCCAAGGATTTAATACATTTTAGTAATTATTTTTGTACAAATGTTTAAAAGAGTTTGGGGCCTTCAAACTAGCGAGTAGCTCAAGAACTGAATCTTGCCTCTGCATTTTTGTAACAATTTTTCTAGATGATGAATTTACGTGATTAATTGTGTTTCGAGCGCCGAGTGGATATTAATAAATAATTAGCTTAAAAATATGACAAAATACAACGATTTTACTTACCTATCTGGTATAATATAATGTGTGCGCCAACAAATTGTTGAAACGAGGACGGTTCAATGAAACAAAAGTTTCATAATTATGTATTTATTATGAAAATAACTCATTTTTAAGGAATGTCTTTATAATCATTGCCATTTTGAATAAGTTACTTAATTATTAGATAATGTAAAGAGTTGTTAATATGTGCAGCTTAGATGTATGTAAACTTAGACATTTTCTAGATTTTTCTGAGGGTGAAACTTTCAGGGAATCGAGTAAATTTTACAAGTTTTTATAAAAAACTCAGTTTTAAGTTATAAATTCGTTTGTTTATTATGAAAATTTCGTATTATATGTAGAAACGTTGGATTTATTATTTCGCTTTTTTTTAAATAAGGTGTTGGTGCAATACTTAGCATAAAGTGTCGTTGTGTGCATTTTTCCGTTGAAATTTAAATTTTAAATTCTCTGTACCTTTATGCTATGTCTTCGCCCTTTTCCGCAAAGCTGGCAACACAGCTTTGCTAAACCAGTCATTCACTGCCGATTTGTAAAATAAGACATTGCTATGAGCAAACTCTCTTTATCGCAATACTTATTAATTTTATAAGAAAATATTCTCAATAGGTAGATTGTAGAGTTAGTATTAAAATTAGTTTGTAGTTTAATATATATATAAATATTAGAAATGCCTTAAAAACTATTACACGAAGAAAAATACTTAATTTTTCTATATCAAAAATATCGTAGGTTATCTACTGTGAACTATGACACAAGCTGTCTAGAGGGCGCTACGATCGCTTAAAGTATAATATGTCAATGCAACATTCCATACAGAAGATATGATCTTAATATTATTGAATTGTGTCAATAGCCATTGCTTACAAATCACATTTCTATTTTGTAAGCTGTTAAGTCGAGTTTTGTATAACAAGTTTACATTAAAAAACTTTACGACACTACGTTTTAAAAATAAATGAAGTACGAAAACATACAAAAATAATTCTACAGAAAAGTAAATGAATAAGAATTAAAGGAATATGATACATGGAAACATTTTTGAATAAAACAGTATGAAAACTGCCATCTAGTATTCGCATTTATTAAAAAAAACCCACAAAATTTAATTAAAAAGAAAACAATTTCTGCATTACTGTATTGGCTGGATAAAACGCTTGGCAGCTATTTACGCATCTTTAAACAGCTTTAGAAAAAAAAAATTATGAACTGGCAAATGGCAATCATAATTTTTTGTATAGAAATTCTTCTTTGGAACTAATAAAAAATCATAATAATGTTTGGTATACCAATTATTTTTAACAGTTATTCATAAAAAAGGTGCTTATTTTCATTCTGTTTGATCACTTTGTTGTACTTTCCATAAATTGGGTTTACATACAACCGAAATCCGAAATCTGTGGAAACAGATAAGATTTTTGACATTTGTTTTTTAGAGTCTTTCGGTTTAATTATAGATTTTGGATTAAGAATCTGCAGCGAAAATGTTCAATTGGACACATCCCTTTATACTTATGTACTTGTAATAATGAAAGACGTAAGCAAAGATAGGATAATAGTTTTTAGGTATCAATATCAGGGATTTAGTGAGTTTTTGAAGTTCACATTTCGCTAAAACATTTGAATATTTTTAGATTTTTTTGTAATGTGAGCTTCAAAACTCACTGTAATACACCCAAAAGGGCACAAGTACTTCAGTTCTAGTATATATATATAGCTAATATAAAGGAGCTCATAAATAATTAAGATATGTTTTTTTTATTATAGCGATACTTACTTATAAAAAAAAAGAAAATGTGCCACACGAAAAATTTTATTAATATTTTTTATTAATTTTTCATTGAGATTTTTATGTGATTGTACCTATGTTTTTTTTTCATTGATTTGTTTGCCAATAATGTCGTTTAGAACAGTGGTATCTATTTATAGTTTTGTAGATTCTTTACTGAACTGATAAATTTAAGATGTTAGTACATTAGATTATATTTTTATATTCAGTAAAGTAGCAGATGTGAGTGCGGCAAGACGGTGTGTGTGTGAGGTCCGAATAATTTTTATATTAAAAATTACAAGGAACGCAAGATTGGTATGGCGTCCATGTTCTGTTATTATTTTATACATAAGTATTATAGTGATATTGTATTCTTCTTTATTTTGTAGAATTATAAAGATTTTTTTTATATATAGCGCAAAACGAATAAATATGATTTTGATTTAGTATGGTTTTTCTCTTTTTCTGTTTTACCCTACTATTTTAAAGCATAGGTACCTTAACTAAAACTCGATATCAGAGACCATTCTGGGACTCGTGCAATTATCGCTACTAGCTCCCTCTGCAATATTTATCTACAAATCAAGAAAAAACAAAAGACAGACCAACCTTTTAATCTTGGAGCACCTTAAATTAGTTCATTATCAAAGTTATGCATCGCAGAGAAAAATAATAATTTGTCTTATTACTTATGAGAATTATCAAAATAATCTATTTAGTATACTTATGTTTATACCTATATTTGGTTTAATTTCGAAAGTCACTTACCTACAGTTAAGAATATGTTAGCAAATGCATACTTTTCCTTCTGGACCACATTCAGCGACTAGTCGATCTCCATTAGGAGATCCGTCGGTCTTCTATTCCATAAAAAAGGATAAATAACTTCATTTACAGACGGCCTTCGTATCTTGACGAGTGTGAAGTTAGCCGTTTGTCTGCGCAATGGATCTTTTAGGAACAAAATTGTGTACTGCGCTGCTAATCGGCTAACTTCAGACTCGCCAAGATACGTTGGCGGTATTGTACCTACTCATTTTTTGAGGGGAAAATGCACAATTACTAGAACTGCCCTAGGTACAAGAGGACGGACGAAGTATCAGACGCTATCTGACTAAAAGCCACCCCATTCCTTTTCCTGTTCAAAGCCGGGAGTGCCGGGACCGTGGTTCATTATTGCACTTGCACTTACAACATCAAAATATACCTAATTCTACATGGGTGCCATCATCAGAGAAAAGACAAGACAAACTGTAAAGTTTGGTCTCAATAAAATGCCGATGATTTACAAGGAAGCAAAAACTTTATTTTACTCTCAGAATACAGAACAAATTCGCTTCGCATGAGCCTGAGAAAATTTTGTTGGCGACTGACAGTTTACGTCAAATGTTTCTGGAAAATATGTCACAGCTAAGTTTTTTCTTTTTTTTCTGTGAAGGTTTGTTACATAACAATTATACCTAGATCAATACTAACTTATACACAAACAATGATTAAAACATGCATTTTATTTCAAGTTATATAGCACTGTAAGTCGTACGAAAGCAAGGATCTCGCACACTTCTTAAAATCTTATTTAAACATTAGGGAAACTATTTAAAACCCGAGCTGATTTGTTAATCTTAGTTCTTCCAAATCTTACTAATATTATAAATGCGAAAGTTACGATGTTTGGGTGTGTGGATGTTTGTTACTCAAAAGGGGTTTTTGTTAAACTGGTGCCTATAGTTTTTGAAACCAAAAACATTTTAGATAATAATTCTTCTTCGCATATCAATATTTTTTTTTTACAGCTTTAAAGGCAATGTAAACAGGTCTACAGCAGTGGGGCAGCTTATTAATTGATACCTACAGACAGATATCGAATTAATTATGACGAAAGACCCCTCTTCTTTGTTTTAATGGCGATAGTACTGAGTGCAAATTCATGCGAGTAATTAGCCATTTACGAAAATTAAAAATCCCACTTATCAGTTGTTAATGTTATTCGTAACTGTATTAATATTCATTATCAGTTTAATCTGCGAAAAACCAAAGATTTTTTGTCAAACAATAGGTATCTCAAAATTATATGGTTTTTCATGTTGGGTTTTGCCCCCACATAGTTTCTTTGATTTCATTAGCAAATGTCCCACATAGTGATGATTTGCTATAAAGGTTTACATTTTGGAATTTACAAAACTAGTAACAAAGGGGTTCTTTTTTATTCATAGATATTATTAAAATATGTGTATACGTCTATCTAGGTAGGTAAAATCGACTGATTTTAATATTTGTTATTATTTAGTATCTAATATGAAAATGCTAGTCTCGGTCAGGCGGCAAGTCATCGATAGCTGCTCATTTGCCCAATTTGGTATTGATTGCCGGGCTACCTTCAGGAAAAGTCCTTTTGCTGACTTGCTTAACTTGTTGGGTATGTGTCTGATGCGCAAACTACCGGAACACAGGCTGTAGGAGAGCCATGTTTAAGTGAAGGAGAGCCATACTTAAGTGTGGGAAAGCAATGCTTCGACACGAATGGGCCGGCTCGACCGGAGTAATACCTACCACGGCCTCACAAAAACCGGCGTGAAGCAACTCTTATGTTATGTTTCGCCATGTGAGTGAGGCTACCGCGGCCCAACCCTTCCCCTCATTTTGAATCCTCAAATCTCCTCAGATACGGTTCCCGATTGAACGTTTGGCATCATCATTGAAGGCGGTCTCCGACAGTCCGCCGACTTGGTCAACAGTAGTTAAGATCCTTTAGAATAATAAATATCTACTATCAACAAAAACGATATATCAAATTAAATCATTCTCATACATGAGGGTGCGGATTCAAAACTTGGCGAAAACCAATGGACGAGTCATATGCCATGACATTTCTAAGACTATATAGATATTACATACGGTGAAGAAAAAAATATCGTAAGGAAACCTGGACTTATAATTTCTAATTAAAAGTTTGAAATCGCCAATCCGCTTTGAGCAAGCGTGGTGATTAATGCTCAAACCTTTGCTTAGAAGCGGGCACTGGCTGATGATGATGATATAAAATTGAAGGCGCCACTGACTGGTATGTAGTGGGTCTTCTCAACGTGGGACGGTACCTTTCGCTGGAACAACTTCTGTATCTCTACAAAGCGCAGTTTCGATCCTGTATATTTTTATTTAGTTTTTCATTTATTGGGTAGAGACAACAAACAGCTACATTATAAATAGTGTACACAGACATTATAAACCAAAATGAAAGTAACAACGCAGCCCACAACGTTATCCACAAATTAACAAAAACATGGAATATTAGGCTAGTTGGGATGGTATCTTTCATCATTTTACAACAAGACTATAGCGACAATGAGAATCTCCCAATGGCGGCGTCTCACTCCTCAAGAAGAGCACCTACGGCTGCTGCAACAGCGTGCCCAGCGTTCAGTTAAAAATCGCATAACTTTCTTAGAAGAACTTTTTTATAGAAGTAATTCGAACCCAATTAGTTCTTAGGGCTGCGTACTGTGTTTTAAACTTTTAACCAGGAACGAGGTTTGAACAACTTTCATCTCCTCTTCACTAGCTGTAAGTTCACGTAACACGTTAAGAAACAATCTGGACCGAAAGACTAACCATGCTGTACAAAATACCGATGGCAGTTGAAACTTCTTACATATGTAGGTACATGACAAAGAGCCGTCAGACTCATAAACCTAAGGTTCAAGAGGCCGACAACGCATTGTTAACATACTCGCGCCTGGCCCGCGCAAAGAGCTTGCCACATCACCCTATCACATAGAAACAATTTTTCTATGTGATATGAGGGCAAACGTGCATACGGATTACCTGATAGTAAGCAATCAGCGGCGCCCATGGACACCCGCAACAACATAGGAATTACGAGTGCGTTGCTGATCTTTTTGGGATTAGGGATTTAGGGATTAGGGAGGGATTGGGTGAGGGCAAGGATTTGGGCCTACGGTAACCTCACTCACACGGCGCAACACAAAGCTGTGATTATTTCACGCCGGTCTCCCATTCTTGGCCCTGCATAACATAATAACAACTGTCGCATTAGGTCAAGCCTGTAAGGATAAGCCTGTAGTGTATTTTTTAAAAAAACTTATTCCCACGATTGCACGCGCAACTCAAAAAACATTTTAAACAGTTAGATACTTATCTAATAGTATTTGTGTACAAACTTACAAACAAAACTCAATTCAATAACAAAGCCTTATCAGAATAATAGTAACAATGTTGATGAAAAACCAAAAATTTTTTGATTGCACTATCAGTGTTTTAATAATTTCATAAGATTTAATACAGTATCTTTGATTAATTAAGTCATTATTGAGATAATAGGTTTTGTATATAAGGTGCACGATGGTGTTACATTTAAACAATACAAAGATGGCGGATTACTTGTCAATTTTGTTGGTGTGGTGCTCGTTGGTAGGGTTTGCGTTGGCCGTCCCACCTGTGAGCAGGTCCAGGACTGACATTGAGTCTTTCCGGGCTTTCTTGGAGAGGAGCAGGACAGGTTTGTTCAATTTTATTAGTATTTGTGCAAAACTATTACTTACATAATTGGAGTCCAAATAACAAAGAAGACCTTTTAAACTGATGAAAAGTCGCCCACATGAAAAGCTTAGAATTTTAGTGCTTAGAAAATATATCCTTATAATCCAAATAAATGTAGATCTTTTTAAATTTCTTCATCATCAGCCTATAAGTCCCCACTGATGGGCAAAGGCCTCTTCTCATACGAAGGTTAGAGCATTATAATCACTACGCTTGCTCAATGCGGGTTGAAATTATAAGTCCAGGTTTCCTTACAATGTTTACCTTCACCGTATGTCAGTGGTGTCTAAATAATCATAGAAAGTACATATAACTCGGAAAGTCACATTGGCACTTGACAGGTTTCGAACCCGCGCCCTCATGCATGAGAAGCGGGCGCCTTAACCTCCGGGCCACAACGACTTATTTTCTTATAATACTTATATTACTTTTAATTTCTTAGCTAACACTTATTAGCATCCCGACTGAATCCATGATAATATTTCTTTTTTGTTTTGGCTTATTGGAAATTGTCTTTTCTTTTAGCTATCTTTTAAGAGACTGGTCGTGTTCGATACCTAGGTATTTGCATCCGTTGCTGTACCCTGCATCACGATGTTCCTCCATATCTTCCAACAAGCTGATATTTTTGTGCACTCGTGCAAAGGCTTGTCCAAGGCGTTGTTATTGAATCGGTGATTTTCCGCCTCTTCTTTACCTTGCATGACTAGACATTCTTCGACAAATGAGACGTTTCTGTAGTTTTCGTACTCGAACTTGTGACAGATAAAGCGGTATTGTTTAGACTTTGTGATGATTCGTGATTATCTTCCTAAAAGACAAAATCGGAAATGTGTAGCTACTTATCACTACATATTATAAAACAAGGTCGCTTTCTCTGTCCCTATATCCCAATGTATGCTTAAATCTTTAAAACTACGCAACGGATTTTGATGCCGTTTTTTTAACAGATAAAGTGATTGAAGAGGAAGGTTTGTATGATGTATAATGACATCCATTAAATAGTGGAGAAATTAAATATCAGCATTGCACCCGTGCGAAGCCGGGGCGGGTCGCTAGTTTATTAATATTAAGAATCATTCGATGAATATACCCTTCATGTTTTTTTTTTGGAATAAGTCGGCAAACGAGCTTGCGAATTACATGGACACCCGAATCATCAAAGGAGTTACACTGCGTTGCCGGCCTTTTGGGGATAAGGGTTTCGGATATAAGGATTGGGAAGGGATAGGGGAGGGAGGGACTGGACCTTTTTTTTTTTTTTTTTTGTCAGGGGAAAATCATATCCAATGACTTCTCCCGCCCAGGGTAAGGCGAGAGAGAGTGTCAGACTCTTACTGACTAAAAACCCCCCCGTTCCTTCTCCTGCTCTGGGCCGAGGTCGCGGTGCCTCATTGCGCTTACCCCGCAGCCCCGGCTAAGGGAGGGACTGGACCTCCGGTAACCTCACTCACTCGGCGAAACATCGTATTCTGTGAGGTCGTGGTTTCACTCCGGTCGAGCCAACCCATTCGTGACGAAGCTTGGCTCTCCCACAATTAAAATGTCTAGTACATTTTAATTTTGAAACAGTAAACTTCAGAAATGAAGATAAACATATTTGTCCGATATGCATCCTCACGTGTTTCGTAAACATAATAGCTTTGATAGTACAATGTTTCTTTGATAACAACACTAATCCTCATCAGATTTGTTGTAATTAATGATAAATTTATATATAAATCATTTGAATTAAATGTCATAAAAATTTGATAATTAGATTAAAGAACTGTGATTGTTGTAGTGCATTGGATTTCAGGGTTGATGATAATTATTAATACAATGTACTGTAAAGTCTCAGCTGACAAGCGATTTAAGTCAAGGTTTCTTTACGAGTTGCTACGAAGTCGAAGGATACCTGACCGCCTTAGCGCAATAGCGCAAGATATTAATATACATATGACCTCAGTATAGAAAAAGCATCGTCGTAGTCGTTACACAACTTAGAGGCCCGAAGCTACTAGTAATGCCATTCTACAGGATCTTAACATGCCAGACGAAACAAAATCTTAAATGACGTACCTCTATTTCATGAAATTCGAAATAAAAAAGTGCACGTTACATTAAAATAGTTTTTCTCTACGTAACATTAAAATGGTATTATTCGCTGATGACACTTCATTGATTTTTAAAATAAATAGACGAACAAACAAATATATTATGACGAAGTTAATAATGCTTTAATGAAGGTTCAAAATTGGTGTACAATAAACAACTTATTACTTAATGATAAAAAGACTAAATGCATTAGATTTATTTTACCAAATGTTAAAAGTAACGTATGTGATGACATACTACTCTGTCAAGAAAGTACCGGGAAAAAGTCAATAATACACAAAATGTTTGTTATTCATCTAAATTTATTTTATCACCTTCAAAGTATGCTCCTTCAGAAACGATACACTTACGCCAACGAATAATCCAATCATCGAAACTTTTATTAAACGCTGTTTCCGGAATTGAGTTCAGTGCTCGCCGCGAATTCTCCTTTATGTCTTCTAACGATTGAAAACGGGTGCCACGAATGGGTAATTTGAGTGTGGGAAAAAGAAAGAAGTTGGCTGGAGCCATATCTGGTAAATATGGTGGCTGCTCGATGGTGTTTGTTGAGTGTTTAGACAAAAAATCGTTTACAATGATGGCCTTGTGCGAAGGCGCATTATCGTGATGCAAAATCCAAGAATTTTCTTTCCACATTTCTGGCCTTTTTCGTCGAATTTGTTCTCTTAAACGCCGCATAACGCTCAAATAATATTCTTTATTTACCGTTTGACCTTCGGGCAAGAATTCTGAGTGCACAACACCGCGATAGTCAAAGAAAACAGTCAACATGACTTTGACTTTTGATCGACTTTGACGTGGTTTTTTCGATTTTGGTTCAGTTGGAAGGCGCCATTCCGAAGCTTGTTGACTAGTTTGCATGTCAAACTCGTAAACCCACGTCTCGTCACCAGTAACAATGCGTTTCATGAATGTTGGGTCGGTATTGACTCGTTCTAGCATGTCCTTAGCGACTTTCATGCGATTTAGTTTTTGAAGAAAATTCAGGTCTTTTGGGACTAGCCGAGCGGCAACACGTTTCATACATCTCGACCGCTTTTGAACGCTTTGTACCACTCATAAGCACGTGTTTTTGATAAAGTCGATTCACCGTAAGCCTTCTGTAACATTTTGAGTGCCTCCGAACACAAAATTTCATTGGCGATGCAAAATTTAAGACAAACTCTTTGTTCGATGTTTTTGTCCATTATGAAATTCGCAATACACACTAGATATTATAAAACTAAAAACAACACTGTTTTTAATATAAATAACAGATGCAACTCAAATTCCGCGCCAAAATGGAAAACAGTTATGCCAATCTAACAACAACAAAAAAAATTAAAATTCGCATTTGGAACCATAAAAAAACATTCATTCCCGATACTTTGTTGACTGAATGTATTATTAAATGATCAGAAACTAGAATTTGTAAAAGAGATTACTTTTCTGGGGATAACTGTAGATGAGAAGTTGCAATGGGGGGCCCCACATCAGGTCTCTAGCAGAAAGATCCGTCAGCTAACCGATGTAGGCACGGCAAGACTGGTGTACTTTAGCTACTTTCACAGCATCATGTCGTATGGAATTCTGTTGTGGGGACAGGCATCCGACGTTGAGTGATCTTTATCTTGCAAAAGCGTGCCGTCAGAGCTATATACAACTTAGGTCGTCGCGAATCTCTCAGAGAAAAGTTTAAGGAGATCAACATTCTGACCGTACCGAGTCAATTTATTTATGAAAACATTATGTATGTTAGGAAAAACCTACACTTATTTGTAAAGGTATCTGACAAACATTATTATCATACTATGTTCGATGTTTTTGTCCATTATGAAATTCGCAATACACACTAGATATTATAAAACTAAAAACAACACTGTTTTTAATATAAACAACAGATGCAACTCAAATTCCGCGCCAAAATGGAAAACAGTTATGCCAATCTAACAACAACAAAAAAAATTAAAATTCGCATTTGGAACCATAAAAAAACATTCATTCCCGATACTTTGTTGACTGAATGTATTATTAAATGATCAGAAACTAGAATTTGTAAAAGAGATTACTTTTCTGGGGATAACTGTAGATGAGAAGTTGCAATGGGGGGCCCCACATCAGGTCTCTAGCAGAAAGATCCGTCAGCTAACCGATGTAGGCACGGCAAGACTGGTGTACTTTAGCTACTTTCACAGCATCATGTCGTATGGAATTCTGTTGTGGGGACAGGCATCCGACGTTGAGTGATCTTTATCTTGCAAAAGCGTGCCGTCAGAGCTATATACAACTTAGGTCGTCGCGAATCTCTCAGAGAAAAGTTTAAGGAGATCAACATTCTGACCGTACCGAGTCAATTTATTTATGAAAACATTATGTATGTTAGGAAAAACCTACACTTATTTGTAAAGGTATCTGACAAACATTATTATCATACTATGTTCGATGTTTTTGTCCATTATGAAATTCGCAATACACACTAGATATTATAAAACTAAAAACAACACTGTTTTTAATATAAACAACAGATGCAACTCAAATTCCGCGCCAAAATGGAAAACAGTTATGCCAATCTAACAACAACAAAAAAAATTAAAATTCGCATTTGGAACCATAAAAAAACATTCATTCCCGATACTTTGTTGACTGAATGTATTATTAAATGATCAGAAACTAGAATTTGTAAAAGAGATTACTTTTCTGGGGATAACTGTAGATGAGAAGTTGCAATGGGGGGCCCCACATCAGGTCTCTAGCAGAAAGATCCGTCAGCTAACCGATGTAGGCACGGCAAGACTGGTGTACTTTAGCTACTTTCACAGCATCATGTCGTATGGAATTCTGTTGTGGGGACAGGCATCCGACGTTGAGTGATCTTTATCTTGCAAAAGCGTGCCGTCAGAGCTATATACAACTTAGGTCGTCGCGAATCTCTCAGAGAAAAGTTTAAGGAGATCAACATTCTGACCGTACCGAGTCAATTTATTTATGAAAACATTATGTATGTTAGGAAAAACCTACACTTATTTGTAAAGGTATCTGACAAACATTATTATCATACTAGACATAGGAATAGATTGAGTCAGCCTTTATTTAGATTGGCAAAAGTGCATAAGTCATTCCTGGGTTTCTGTGTTAAATGTTGAAATTCAAAATCTAAATGAAAGCAAATTTAAATTATGTATAAAGAAACATTTATGTAAACTAACTTACTACAAACTAAATGATTATATACAAGATAAAAATGCTTGGAGGCTAGCTGGTCCTACTCCACAGGATGTTTAGAGGAATTTTTGATTTTAATTATTAAATTGTACACTATGTTGTTAATTGTTGATGATCTTCTAAGTTTTTGCAAATGTGAGTGCCCTGTAACCTATTATAATTAAGTAAGACTTGTAGAATATAGGTACTTGTGTCGGCTGGGAGCTGTCATGCTCACTCAGACGTCTCATTGGCGGTGGCACGGGCACTGGATCGCCCAATTCCCTATAATATGGTTGAGTTGGGCGGTGCTGGTGTACGTGTCATGTTCGTGAACGGGCGCCGCCTATTGGGACTGGTCATCTCCAGGCTGTCTAAATATGTTGTCCTTGAGGTTCACTTCTTTTTCGTACTTTTTGCCTGAACATTAGTGTTACATTGTTCTCACATATTAGAACCGACTAAATGATGTAACAAAGAAATGTATTGTAAAACTGATTGAAAAAGAGTAACCATGGAGTTTCTTGCTCGTTCTTCTCCATAGGAATCTACACTTTGGAACGAGCAAATAGCTTCACTAGAGGACAGACGGACAGACTGGCACGCTTAATTTTAAAGTTCTTGGTATATACTTTTTTCCTTTTTGCTTGCTTGACGTTCAAAAGTGCCTACTGTGGTCTAATTGAAATAAATGATTTTTGACTTTTGACTTTTGACTCTCCGTTTATCTTTTCGGCTTGATGGTTTAGTCTATTTTTTTTTTTGTGACGGGAAAATCATCAAATGTCTTGTCCCGCCCAGGGTGGGGTGGGGGGGGCAGGAGAGAGTATTAGACTTTTACTGACTAAAAACACTCCCGTTCCTTCTCTTGCTCCAGGCTGAGGTCGCGGTGCCTCATTGCGCTTATCCCGCAACCCTGGCTGGACATCAGTCCTACAGGGCCCTGTCTGTGGTGGTCTATTGGCTCTTTGAGGCGCGCGCCGTACACTTGGGTCTGGTTCTGGTCGGGCGACGAACTACCCTTACTTGCCGTCCACATACGTCCACAAGAAGGAACAGGGTGGTTTTAATTAGTATAGGTCTGACACTCCCTCTTGATCCATACAGGACGTGAGAAGCGGAATGATTTTCTCCCTCAAAAAAGTATAGAAAATACATTATGTAAATTGTCCTGGATTCTTTTGACGTAGTTCTTCCATAACTAAGAGGCCCGAAACTACTAGTAATGCCATACAGGCTCTCAACGTGCTAGCGGGCTATAGAAGTTTGAAAAACTAATTATTACCTGTGATTGATTTGTACCTACCAATAATAATTAGGTATTATTATAATTTTACTTATTTTCCAGATAATGGCATCCGCCTAGAGTCCCGCATGCTCGCCAACCCCAAGGCTTCGGTCTGGGAGAACAGTGGCAAGTTCGAAGGCGACATCCTGCTGAATGATGAGCAAGCCGAGCTCATGCTGCAGCAGTACGCAGGTGGCAGGAACGCATACATCTGGCCCAACACCAAATGGCCATCCAACACTATTGTTTACGAGTTCAACAATGAGTTCAGTAAGTATCCATCAATTATTCACGTTTTACGTTTTACTCTTTTTATGGTACGGTTCGGCAAACGTGCGACGCATTACCTGATGGTAAGCAATCAGCGCCGCCCATAGAGAGATGGAGGCCCTTTAAGGATAAAGGTTTCGGATATTTAAGGATTAGGAAGGGATGGGTGTAGGGGGAGAGGATTGGGCCTCCGGTAACCTCACTTAACGGCGAAACATAACGCTGTGGTTGTTTCACGCAGGTTTTCTGTAAGGCCGTGGTATCACTCCGGTCGAGCCGAGTCCTTCGTTCCAAAGCTTGGCTCTTCTACACTTAAAACATAACGTACTGGTTAAGTTTAAACATATTACATCCACGTTTTCAATTATTCAATTAAATGCTTGGATAAAATAATGTATGTATGAAAGCCTACACATATAATTACATATTTACATTTAAATTATCTTATTCCAGCCAACGCCCAAATCAACGCCATCTATGCCGCCATGAGGGAGATTTCCTCGAGAACCTGTGTCAGATTCCGTCGCAGAGAAGCCAGAGACGTCAACTTTGTCAGGATCACTGTAAGTTATCCTTAATACATTTACGGGAATAACTTTGTATATTAATAGGTTATTAGGACCGAGTAATAAGAGTCAAATTTAATAACCTTTCTATTCTTCTTGTTTGGAAAATAAGTGACCGTATTTTTAACCGACTTCCAAAAAGGAGGGCGGTTAGCAATTCGACCGTTTATGTTTGTTCGCCGATATCTCCGTTATTTATAAACCGATTTTGATAATCCTTTTTTTGTTGGAAAGTCCAGATCCAGTGTTATAAAATAGTAATTAAATATTATTTTCTATTTAACTTAATAATAATATGTATTACTATGTACAAAGCAAATTTATTTTCTGCTTTATAGTTTATTTTTTGAAGTCGATTTCTTTTTGTAATAAAATGTTTTAGATTAATTTAATGTTGAGTGCAACTTTCGAGCTCTGCTCTCTTCAAAACTAATTAGTACATTAATTCAAGTTATCGTATCTTTATTGGCTTTGTTCAGGTCATAAAGATTTTTTCTAATCGAAGATTGTGACTGCATGTTTAACAGAAATTCCCAACTTAAAACCGCTGACAAATCTGTTACCATGTTGTTAATCTTATAGTATATATAAAAAATGGATCGCAAAATGTGTTGGTAAGCGCATAACTCAACAACGCCTGGACCAATTTTGGTAATTCTTTTTTTTTTGTTGTATTTGTTATTGTCAGGAGAAGGTTCTTATGCAAGAAAATTTTAGAAAAGTAGAGGGTATAGTTGGGTAATAGGGACCCTTTCATCGTAAGCGAGATAATGAGACCCGTGCGAAGCAGGGGCGAGCTGCTAGTTTCACATAAAATTCTTCAGTTTGATTAGTAGGTATATATTTGAGTTTCAGTACTTACTTGTAGAAAAATGATATTTATTATCTGTCGTATCGAATCATATCCAATTCAAACATTCGGCTTCATCTAAGTAGTTTTTTACGTATAATTTCGACGTGTAAAAGTACTATTTTATGGCCTATTTACGATAGAAAATTCATTGTTTCAATGTTTCATCAAATAGATAAGTATCATTCATACATTTTCGTCCAATGAAAACAAAATGAAGTATTGATTAACAAACTCATTAGGTATTTTGTTTAAACCCAGTGTTTGGTTTATTGCTATCCAAAAATCACGGTTACACAATTTATCATTCAGACGGTCTAGACTTTTCTTTCGCCATTTGTCGTTTTTAACCGTAATTCCAAAATTTAATTAATCAGTTTATAGTTTATTTTATAGACGTTATAAAGTTCGTTAGTAAAGATTAGATATGTATGTGCGTAATATATTTAGTCAAGCATATTTTATTGTATTGACCGATGTCATTAATCGTGTTAACATGTAGGTACAGTCTACATAATAAGCTATTTGGTATGAAAGTACAAAATATTTTATCTGTCGAAACAGTACCTAGGTAACCATATTTTAGCTATAGCTACTGAACCGAAAAAAGCTATGGCTTCTTTAAATACCATATTAGTATTTTAACTTTTCCATAGTGGTTATTCGAGACACAATAGAAGAACAGTAGGTGCGCGAATTCGCTTTGTTTTTTTTATGTAATAAGTCGGCAAACGACGGATTACCTGATGGTAAGCAATCAACGCCGCCCATGGACACCCGCAACGGAGGAGTTACGAGTGCGTTGCCGACCTTTTAGGGATTAGGGATTTGGATATTTAGGGATTGGGGAAGGGTTCGGGAAGGGGAAGGATTGGGCCTCCGGTAACCTCACTCACACGGCGAAACACAACGTTGTGGTTGTTTCACGCCGGTTTTCTGTGAGGCCGTGGTATCGCTCCGGTCGAGCCGACCCATTCGTGCCGAAGCATGGCTCTCCCACACTTTGTGTTTGATGAATTTATGTAACTTGGTCTATGTCTATGTATTTTCTTATTTTATCTTACCAGCTAACGATAACAAGATAAATAGTTAGTTCCACGCGGTTTCATTGGTCACAGCGTGATGTCTTTTTGTCTATGAACCTTCTCCATAAACAATTATACAATACAAAAATAATTATACAATTCCAACTAAATTAAAGCACGTTCAAACAAAAATCTCTTCATCTTTATAATGTTAAATTATATAGTATAGAATTAAATATAACAGTGCTGCAGACTGTACATTAATTTAAAGCTATAAATATAAATACCAATCCTATCTAAAAAGGATTTCTTCGAAGCGAATCAGAGTGCCTACGTAACTATTGATAGTTTTGTCAAATCCATGTTTTTTATCTAGAATTCTCATTTTTGATAATGTCCAACCATACCATAAACCTACCATAATATGCAAAGTAAAAACTAGTCACCATTTTCAAAAACTTCCTTTTTTTCCAGGGTCGTTCGGACGGTTGCTACGCTAATGTAGGTTACTGGTCTACCATGGGTGTACACACTTTGAACTTAGCTCGTGACACCCCTGGCCGTGGCTGCTTCACTCACACCGTCATCATCCACGAATGGCTCCATGTTGTCGGCTTCTTCCACATGCAGTCCACTCACAACAGGGATACCTACGTCCGCATTATGTGGCAGAACATTTGGCCAGGTAAATATCTCAATATGGAATCTCAAAATGGAATCGTCTCTATTCAACGCATTGTCATCGGTCGATACTTATGAACCATTAGAAAAAAGATTTTATTAGTCATATAATTTTGTATTTCTGATGGTATGATACAGACTTTGCAATACGTGATACGATGGTTATCACAAAAAAACAAAAAACACGCGCCCATTACATGAATTCAGGAAATCTTCAAAGTGACCACGACCTTAACAGTGATCTGCAGAACTAAACCCAGGATTTAATTCTTCATAGGAAAAAATATTGATATCTTTTCCGATTAGTGCTTATACTTTGTTCTAATTTGAAAATGGTAATTTTCCAGCGTTAAAAAACCAAGTCAACTTTGGCACTGCGATTTGTTATAATTTATTTATATCTGCTATAAGGAAATATTATAAATTATCGAATAAAATATATAATCGAAGTTAAACTCGCGGAAATGAAATTTTGGAATGTACATAGTTATTATTTTAAACGCGTTATGTATTAAATTTAGTTTATCAAATAGTATATTGAGGAAATGGTACGTGTAAGTACCTACCTACATACATTTATGAATCAATTTCTTTTATTTTTATGACAAGTGACGAATTAGCAAATGAGGTGTAATAAACAAAAATATACCTATAGTTCATAAAGATTAATGTCACTTGATTTCTCTTCGTGATAAATATTATACCCAATTGTAAAATATTAAAAAGTGAAAGAAAGCCGCAGACAACAAAGGTTTAAACCTTTAAAGAATTATCTTATTCGTATTTTCCAGATTATAAACCATATTTCAGAGGATTAAATAATATTGTTAATCTACATTGTTTTAGGACAGTCAACTTGATTGTTTGTCGAATGTGACCTTTGCCAAATCTTTAATGTTTATAAAAACTTAATATGTGCCAATTGACTCATCGAAAACACATCCTAGTTACCTATGGCTACCATTACCATTTTTACACCTCTGAGATTTTCAGCTTTCATTCAGCTCTACACATCTAAACACTGCTAGCCTCCTGGCTCATAAATGGCCTTCCCCAGCTGGAGAATGCTCTGCACTACGTTGACCTAGACGCGATCTCCACTCTATAATATGTGTACCCCATCGGTCATAGGTTCTTCAACAAATACGAGTATGACTTGCCTACTTGCACTTCAGCTTGCTACGCCTTTGGATCTATAATATAAAGAAAGAAAATTAAAACAGCAATTGACGATGTGTTTTTTTATTCTAAGGCATGGAACACAACTTCGACAAATACGCAACCAATATCGTCAACAACATGGGTCTCCCCTACGAATACGCCAGCAACATGCACTATGGCAGATATGGCTTCAGTATAAACGGTCAAGCTACCATGTTACCTATCTTCGTAAGTAACTAACATAACATTATTATTAAATAGTATAAAGTAAGTAGGTCGCTAATCAAATAGGAATATGTCTACAGTCTGTAAAATATTAAAAAAACATACCTAAGATAGGCTAGGATATCCTGTTTTACTTATATACCTATATTTAAATACCCAAAAGGAACGAGAGAATCTTTGCTTAACCTTTTGTCGATAGTATTTCGTTATTAATTATTAAGTGGTTGGTAAAATAATACCTATTGTCACTAACTTTTGTCACCATAAAAATTTACTGACTTGACTGCACGGTTAGCCGGTCAACTGGCTGCCGCGCAACGTGTCGCGGGCTCGATTCCCGCAAGGAATAACTCTTTGCGTTTCAAAAAATTGTGGTTCCGCGTCTGGGTGTGTGTGAATTTGAAATTGTATCACTCATGAGTGACACACAGCAGAAAATCCTACTGTGGAGTAAAGTTTACAAAAAAATAGTAAAAATTTTGTGATATTGTTACAGAATGACAACGGTTTATTGGGACAGACCCAGTTCGTGACGGCATGGGACTGGCTCAGGGCCAACAGACATTACAACTGCCCAGGAGCCTGGAATGACGTCATCAACCCTGAGGACCTTTCCAAAGGTGGCTATGAGTTTGAGCCCAACTACGAGGAACTTGAAGACTTACCAGTAGATGATCAGGTTGCTGAGGAAATCGCCCCACAAGAGGAAGTTGTTGAAGATATGCCCCAGGAAGACATCGTTGCTGATAAAGTGTCTTTCGTTGATGAAGCTCCCCAGGAATTGGACCAGTAAACCTACCACTTTGTAACCGAGACTGATTTGTAAATAAAAACTTAAAATTACTTAAACTTAAAATTATATACTCATTTCTAAGACCTCTATTTATTTGGCTACATATACCTACTCATTATTAAATATCTATGTACTATTTCAATCAAAATTGATATCTACGATGTTTTTTTCGTAATATAAAATGATTATTAATTATATTCAGACGTTTTATTTTTATTTATCTAAGATAGTTTAAAAAAATATTGTTCCTGATACTGAAAACTATTTCACGAACTCCTTCATACGGATTAATATCAATACTTACAATCCACCATGTTTCTACCTTTGTCTTACTTTACCGGACAGGTATAAACATTCAAAAGGCTCTTAGCTTTTGGGGAGAAACGTTACGAAATTCTTGCTTCAGTAAAACCTAAGCGGCCATCATCAGTATCTACATAATGTACGGAGGCACCAACACCATTCATTTATCTGTAGCAACTGTCCGTTCCTTGCGTCACGCTCTCATACATTTTTGCTTGCCTTGGACTCAGCAATATACTTACATGTGTCCCCTACAACGCTATTACCTCTTTTAATATCATGCGTCATAGTCCACGATGTTCTTAATACTTTTGCCGCTTACACATATTCATGCAAACATGATTAATTACTGATAATTTTATTGTTAACTTTATCGATCAAAATAATAACAAACAAAATGCAATCACTCGAATCAGAAACAGAATGATTTCCTGAAAAATATAATGATGACCTATAAAAATAAAAACAAGCAATTTATCACTAATTGTTTTGTTTATTTAAAGAAGTTTTCTCAAAATGCTAATGACTCTTACGTGACTAGCTCAGCACGTTTACTTTGCAATACACATATTATTGAAGTGACATGTAGTGGCGTGGTGGACTAAGCCTTCAGAGAAAAGCTATAAAAAGGTAGTTTTTCATAACAATTTTGCCCACACCTCGGTGCCAAATTGCAGCTGTAATACTGTGGGAAGAAATAAGTAGATAGTTTTTTTTATTAAACCGTTAAGTACATTAGAATTTCTTCATGTGTCGTGGGTGCGTTTTCAAACATACAAATTCACACACACAAGCCACCCAGACCCGAAACAACAATTTGTGGATCGCACAAAGTCTTGTTCCATGCGGGAATCGAACCCGCGACACGTTGCACAGCAGCCAGTTGCCCATCAACTGCGCAAACCGTGCAGTCGAAACGCATTTTCTCGAAATAAAGCCGTTGGATGCATGTACCTGGTTTTATTGAGACGTTGCAGTTTAAGAGGCTTGATAATGATGATGGTGATCAAAAAAATATTTTATCTAGTAGGCCTGCAAACCTTGGACTCACCTGGCGAGTTAAGCGACAAAGTAAAAATGTGCGGCCTAGCCACTGTGTAAACTACCAATTAAACTAAACTATAAAATGTTTATTAAGCCGTATATACTTTAATTGCATTGGATACTTTGATTTTGTATAAAAAGGTTTAATTTATATGACAGTTAATTAAAAAAAAAGTAAGATATGTAGAATGTGTAATACAATTTTTCATAACAGTCAAGTGATTTCAGAGCCTGTTCAATTAAAACAAACAATCAATCTTTACTCTTATAATATAATTAGGAACTTTTTGTTATGGGACAAGCCCGCCGCAACCTCCTAAAACCGCTGCATTCCTGTAAGCCAGGATAAACAGTAGATACAACCATGGATACACCGGAACACTGAAGTCCGGCGCGTCCCAGGGACATGAATGACTGTCTTGGATCCCGCAACGAAATATATCAGAAGATATTATATGAGGATAGATAAGAAAAAACTAAATAGTTTCCACTTCCCTCGGTAAATTTAATGCAGGAGACAGTATTACTATTCAACATTGGAGTGTTTGATTTATTGGAGTGACGTGATACTCGCCACTACTTAGTAAACACTTAAATAAATTTTGTTTTGCCTTACTACGAAGCGAAAACGAATGCTCTAATTAGCCTATCAACCACGCCATCTTATTTATCAAAATAAAATCTACGAGTAAACCTAAATACCTAAATAGAAAAACAATAATAATAAACAATAGTTTGAGTTGTAAATTGATAAAATCGATCGTTTATCTATATAGATGGAGATAATTTGTTTGAATATAAAGCTAGGGTGAGGGACAAGTCCGTGTATTGTGACAGGATCCCAGGATACAACATGTTCCGACTTATTGTATTAACTGCTGTATTCAGCTTGGCGGCAGCCAGCCCCGCTGTGACGAGGACCAGGAAGGACATTGAAGCTTTCAAACAGTTTTTAGATGGAATCCGTAGAGGTATGTAAAATGAATATTGAAAAAAAAATTTAACGAATTTTTTGTTCTATATTTATCGATTTTCTTTCGTTTCCGTAATCTTTTTCTGGTATTTAAAAAATACCAGAAAAAGATTTTTTTTCTTTTTACTTCACATTGCATATTTATTTAATTAAAATATTTTAACACAGTCAGCACTACTGTGCCGTGGAAATAAAAATCATTAATTAAATGAAACAAAAAAAAAAAACATTTTTCTGGTTTTTTTTATTGAACGGAGAGGAAGCGAAAAAAATCGTTTAAATATAAAAAGAAAAAAATATTTTTCCATTTCTACAATAATTTACTGAAATCTTAAAAACATTGCAGCATCAGGCCAACAACTCTCTTTGATTTCGTTCTCACCTTTTTCTTTGTTATTGAAAATGCGTTTGTAAATGTCCTTAAGATAAAATGTACAATGCATTTTAGATGCAACAGTAGCCTAGACATTGTAAACAAAACCAATCCGCTTATCAATCGGATCATTTTAAATCAATCTTACACTGAGAGATACGATTGGATGAGTAAACTTTAGGACATTCTAATTTTACAGAATCTCTTTTGTCGTTTACTATTGTTTTCTTTTTGATAGGTATAGGTCGGTAAACCCGCAACACCAAAGGAGTAACGAGTACGTTTCTGGCCTTTTGGAGATTAGGGTTTCGGGGATATCGGATTTTTAAGGATTGGGAAGGGATGGGGTAGGGATAGATGAACCTCCGGTAGGTAACCTCACACAACGCTGTGTTTGTTACATGCCAACTTTCTATGAGGCCCTGGTATCACTCCAGCCGACCCATTCTTGCCGAAGCTTGGCTCTCCCACATTTGGAACCTACTAAAAACATTTGCTTTTTTATACAAACTGGTCTGTAAGTGGTAAATACTAATATAATCTGTTTTAATATAATCTATTTTACTTTGTTTCAGGCAATGAAAATGTAGCACAATTCCAAGCAAAGAAGAGTTCATTGCCCTTTGCAAATGATGAGGAACTGAGCGGAAAGTACCAGGGTGACATAGTCCTGGATGAGGATGACTATGAGGTTATGCTGCAAGAGTACGCGTTAGGTCGGAATGCGTACTCTACGTCCACCATCACAACCTGGCCTGACAACACTGTTATTTTCGAATTTGGAAATGGAGAATTCAGTAAGTAGATTGAGTATTTCTATTTATATTGAAAGATAGAAGATTATAATACTTGAATGTTGTGGTGGTCTGGAGGTAAAAGCTCCTGCTTCTCATGGATGGTGAAGATTCGAAACCTGGTTAGTACCAATGTGACTTAGGATGTATGTACCTTTTAAAATTATTTAGACACTATTGAAATACGGTAAGGAAAAACATCGTGAGGAAACCTGGATTTATAATATCTAATTATAAGTTTGAAATTGCCAATCCGCCTTGAGCAAAATGGTGAAACTTAAACCTTCTCTGTGTGAGAAGAGGCCTTTGCTCAGCTCAGCAGTAGGCACTTATAGCTTATAAGTAAGTGATTTCTGTGTCTCTTTCACGACCATAGTGAACACGCGTAAACATATGGAGCCTTCCTCCCTTCTACTTATAGTTCATTTTCGGTTGATAAAGTCGATTATGAGAAAATCAAGAAGTGTTAGAAGATTTGTTTTGGGCTTATTACTATTTAGATTTAGGGTTTGTTTTATAAAATCTGAATAGCCGCAGTATGTACTAGATAAAATTTGAATATAGAATGTTTTTTTTATGAATTATGAGTCGAATTAGTAAATAGGTTTATTGCCAACTTCCACGAAGGTTGTGAAACAAGCGCCTAGAGTCATCATGAGACAGTTAATATTTCATCATGATTACTTCATACTTTACCTAGTATATACTTTGTAATGCCGACTAATCAGGTAAATAGATTGTTCCGCTAATTTTAATCATTTTATTACACACCTAAAACTATTATAATATCATTTTATGAGACTGTAAAGGTAATAAAATGTCACCAACATACTCATAGATAGATAAGAGTGAGGAAATACGTAATGATAGAGTGCTGGCAAATCTATTTATGTACTAAATAGAATACTATAAACAATAATATGTAGGGATCACTAAAAAAAATGATTAACAAGAAACAAAAAAAAAACAGGAAATGAAAACGTTGATCATATAAAAAAAAGTTGTGAATAATTGACAAATTAAGCACCTATATAATACGGCGAGTCTACCTATGATCTGACTCAGATCGTACAAATCTATACTAATATTATAAAGAGGTAAAAGTAAGTTTGTAAGTTTGTATGTAGGGGGTAATCTTTGGAACCACTGGTCGGATTGCCATGTTGAAAACATCACGCTATGATCAAATGGAGCTGAGCAGCGGGTGAAACTGCGCAAGAGTTAGCTACTCTTTGTTCTCACTATAATTTGAAAATGAACACAGAAAAGATCATTTTAAATATAGTGTGCTATTAAATGTAAATCACTGAATATTTCAAAAATAAAATCTACTAAGTTTCAGGTGAAAGAAAAGATTAGATATCTATAACCACAATAAATGTGTCAATAGACTGATTCACTTATTCAATGAAAATACTTTATCAGAAAACAATCAAGATCATTGTCTTGTTATCATTGCAATATTGCAAATATACATGTACTTAAATAGCGATATAAATCCGTATCGATAACCGATTGTAATTAAAGATGTTCAGACGAAATGCGTTCTCAATATTGCACTTTTATTAAAATGTAAAAATAATTATTTACATTTTATCTGTGATGGATATCGATTGAAACTGAATTTGGAAATCGAGATTACCCACTATTCATATTTATATCTTGAAATTATTTTACTTAAAAAATAGGAATAGTTACACATAAGTATTCAGGTTTCTAGTGTTATCCACAATAAAGCTAGGTCGTTTAAATTACTTCGAGATTAGGGCGGCACCATTTGTTCTGGAGTTGGCTGTCCATTATTACACTAGCGTGCCTCCAAATGGATACATTTTAGGGACTTTTACATCGCTTCATCAGCCTATAAGTGCCCACTGCCGAACTAAGAATTTTTCTCTCTAAAGTTTGAGTTTTAATCGCCATGCTTGCTCAAGGCAGATTGATTATTTCAAACTTGAAATTAGAAATTAAGTGCCTATATTAAGTCAAGGTTTCCTCACGATGTTTTCCTTCATCTTATGTCAGTGGTGTCTAAATGAACTTAGAAAGTACATACTTATAGGTAACTAACTAGTTAAAAGTCAATCTGGTACTTGCTAGATTTCGAAAATGAGCCCTCATACCTACATGAGAAGCGGCACCACTTCTTTTTTATTTGAAGGAACTTAACATAAGCTTATTTTATTTAATTGCAGATGACGCGCAGAAGGCAGCCATTTGGGATGCGATAAGAGACATCGAATCTAAAACTTGCGTCAAGTTTAGATATAGAACAGCATCGGACTCAGTTTATGTAAAACTAACTGTAAGTATTAAAAAATCAATCATTAATATAAAAAGATAAAATAGATATTAAAACAAAGCCGAGTAAAGTAACATAATCCGGCAAAACGTGATTTAGGCCAAGAGAGATATGCCAGCTTAATGTATTGTACGATATTAATGTAATCATTAAACGATGAATCCCGGCTATAAAAATCACATAATATTTACACGTAAATAAAGGTTTCACTTGTGATAAACAAATATGTGCGTTGTGGTGACAGCAGAGCGTATATATTACCACTATTATTCCGTGAATGACGATGATGAGACCTGGAGGCTTAGAATCCAATAGACTCTTAGTTCATGTTGTTGATGGAACCGAAACTTTGAGATTTATTATGAGAAACAATAAAAATGATATTTTCTTTACTTTTGAAGCTATTGGGACTTATTTATAACTAGAGGACTGCTTCCCGCGGTTGTGCAACTACCGCGCCAATAACGAATACAATGACGAACGATGATCACCATTTCGCGACCGCAAAAAGAAAAGAAAAATACTTATAAATATTTTTTAATTTTACTCCTGGTAGCAACAAACAGCAATGACTTTTATTACGCTTACAAACGCGCTGAATACAACAACGCCGAAGCCAATTCTGTTAATTATTTTTTCTTTTATGATTCATTATTATATGTATACATACGTACGTATACGTTCAGTACAGATTACATCGGGTTGAATTAAGCTAGTATATTGATTGTTTTATCATTGTGATTTGCTTAAACCAAAAGCATATTTTAATGTGTAACTTAATTGTCTTTTTTATATTTTCAGGGAATAGCAAACGGTTGCTACGCCAACGTAGGTTACCGGGTATCGCGGGGAGCTCACCAAATGAACTTAGCTCGCAACACCGTTGGTTCCGGATGCTTTAGACACGCCACCATCGTGCACGAGTTCATGCATATCCTCGGCTTCGTCCACATGCAATCTACATTCAACCGAGATGTTTTCGTCAGGATTAATGAAAATAATGTCGCGGCTGGTTTGTATTGAAAAAAAAAACTTTTCTTTTTCTATTATGGAACCTCTTTTGGTCTCTAACTTTTCTTAAACAGTTTTATGTACACTTGTACATAAAAATGGAGAAACGAAAAAAATGTTTTCATGACGTAGTAGTAAGTGTATTACTTACAATTTGTCGTTTTATGTTGAAGTACCTACAATTTCGTTAATTTCTAGAGATAAATCATATATTTAGCTACTTTTAAACGACGGGAACTATTCGCTGGGTTAGCTCGTAATCTGTTTTAATGTTTCTTTATATCTATTTTCAGGCAGTGAACACAATTTTGACATATACAAAGAGTCGAGAGTGGACAATTTAGGAGTGGGCTACGACTACATTAGCTGTCTACACTATGGTCCGTATGCGTTCACCGCTAACGGCCAGCCAACTATTCAGGCACTTCAGGTACGTATAACATCTATACTATCTATACACATATTATAAAGAGGTAAGTAAGTTTGTAAGATCACGCTACAATCAAATGGAGCCGAGCAGCGGGTGAAACCGCGTGAGAGTAGCTAGGATAATATAAATAGACAAAATATATAAGTAAATAATGTAAGGGGTAAACTATAGAACCGCTGGTCGGATTTCCAAAATTATTTCATTAATAGATAACTAAAATGTTCCTTAGATTTGTGTATTTTAGTCGACATATGGCTTCAAACGCTGCTGTTTTAAAATCTCGGATTATACTTACCTATATACGCGTGTGAAGCCGTCGGCGGAGCTAGTTTTCTACAAAAAGCATATTGTTTTTAATGCATTTTCTTATTAAGAATCATTTTGCTTTTCACAAAAATATGTCATAAGTACAAGTTTATTTACGTGTTTTTACAGAGACACACAGGCGAGATGGGTCAACGTGAATACGTTACGGATAAAGACTGGCTTCGGATCAACAGATACTACGACTGCCCCGGCGCATGGAATTAAAACGATCACTGTTCATAAGTTTTAGAAATGATTACGATTATTATAATTTTATAAATAGAAATAATTATTTAAATATACAGTTTTAAACTTACAATCATCTTTTATTTATAGTTCAATTTAAAATTACCTAATGTGCTAATAATTCCTGCTTAGAACAAGTCTTCGCTACTAAATAGCATAGAATATGCTATCATAACTTAAAATGCAATGCTTTTAGCTTTACTTGGCATATGCACGTCGCAGAATGGGACGATAACCGGAAAACCGTGATCAAATCTGTGACTTAGTTCATCAGTTAGCATCCATGAATTAAAATTTAAAGGTTTGTTATAAGGAAAGTAAGAGCCTGCCACACACTTGCATCTCCGCAGGGTGGGATAAGTCATCTTATTACATTCTCCTTCAATCAAAAACAGCAGTCAAATTCATGCTGTGATGTGAATTTACGACAATACACAGTGCACCAGCGCGCTACAAATCTTTGGTTTGACTCAACTGTTAAGTCGGCAAGCCTGCTAAGAACAAGGGAGTTATCAATAAGTAAGATTGATCTTACATGTTAACAGTATTGGAAGCGAATAAATCGATGGATGAATTGATAACTGAATTATGTCTGTTTAGTACAATAAACTACAATGGTTAAGTTAAAAGTTCAAAGATACCTATTATAATATTATAATTAAACGCAATATCATTCATCATTAACATAAGGACAAAAACCTTATTGACGTGAGTTTACTGACTTTGAATAAAGAGAGCACTGAAGAAAGCAAAATGAATAAAGAAGCATCTCAAGGTGTTTGGCACCTCCAGGGTTTTTCCGAAGATCTTTTAGAAACCGATTGGGCATCCAAAACAAGAAGATTTTATATTATCTGATTATTTTGGCATCACGATATCTCTTCGGTTCTTCGGGCCGCTCTTCGGGCCGAGAAACTGGGGCCCATTATTGCGCACCCCGAACCTAATAGCGAACATTTTTCCTTTTCAGGCAGCGAGAACAATTTCAACAAGCACGACATATCAAGAGTGGACAACTTAGGAAACGACCCGACCCGACCCGAGGAATAGCCCTTTTGCCTTCTCCGAAAACGGAGAGCCGACTATTGAGGCTCTGCAAGTAATGTTCAAACTTATACATAATACATAACCTACTTTACAATCATCAGAAACTTTATGTTCCAGTGATACTGTTAAACCGATTTGAATTAGTTTTGTTTTAAAACTAGCATAGCTTTATAGGACAGGTGTTCAACCACCTCTATGACGACAAAATAGTCGCTATTAAGTATTCAATTTCTTACATGACAACCTTCTCCTGATCATTTAACAATTGGCCTAGGCATTGTTGATTTATACGTTTATCAATAGAGATTGAGATAGAATAAACTAAAAAAAAATATTTCATTCAAATTAATTTAGTAGGTAGTATTTCTTTCAAATAGTTTGTGTCTACGGAAATCCGCACCGCGTCTTGAACACTGACACTTTGCCTTTATTTTTGTAAAATAGTAACTAAGTAAACATGACGAAGTATGATGCAAAAAAATAAACCTTATACAGGAAAAGAGGAACGGTTTGCCAGAAAATAATCTAGTATCATAAAATTTAGGCCGAAGCTTCCACGTGTTACAAAGGCATACCCATGATATTGCCGGCTTCATCTAGTTTTTCACATATAAATTGACGTGTAAAAGTGCCGTTTTATGGCCTATTTGCAAAAATAAATTCATTGTTTCATTGTTTCATTGTATTAAGTTTATTTGTCAATCTATTAATTTTCTGCTTTGTTTATGACAGGATCATGAATGTGAAATGGGACAACGCGTATATGTTACGGATAAAGACTGGCTTCGAATCAACAGACATTACAACTGCCCCGGCGCATGGGATTCAAAACTCGAAATCTTTTGTATAAACTGCCAGTATTTTTAATACGTTTATTTTAAGAACACTATTTTGTATCTACAAACGTTGAAAAAATATATTAAATATAAGTACAAAAACAAATTGTTCATTTTTCTGCAGACGGAGGTCGCAGTTGACTCAATTGAGCTTATTAAGTTACCATCAAGCATCTGAATAAAAAGCACACAAAAATGTCGGTGCCGGCGTCCGCACAAGCAAAAGAAACCAAGAGGCCAATAAGATATTATTTACAAAACATACAAGCTGACTTTTTGTAAGTGCTCCCGAGGGGCTACGGCGACCTACATGTTGTCGGGAACACATGACGGTGCGTCTAAGCTTTGATCTCGACGAATCATGCGCCCGCGCCGCGCGTACACTGTCGCAGTAAATTTTGTCAGGACAAATTTCGACTCTTTGAAATTGTTGAGATTTAAACGCAACGGGCGCTGATTTAATCAAATTTATTAGGTTTTAACTACAAGAATGAATGACTGCTGATGTTTGTAATAATGTTCGCATTTTGATGGTTAACTTAATTGCTTTAATATGCGGTTATTGCCGTTTTTCGCTTTCCTTCAAGAAAGTAAGGCAAGCGTAATAATGTTTTTTTTTTTTATATTTGCAGCTGCTAACTTCTTAGCCAACTCTAAAAGTGTATATTTTTGATAAATCACCCTTCAAGTAGAAAGTACCTAAGTACTAAGTATTAACCTAAAGCACTTAAAAAATAATATTGACATTAAGAAATGAAACCGATCACTAAGCTTGACAGGTCATGGTCTGGTGACGCGACTGTTGACAGCTGTAACGGCGACAGTGATGCGCAGGAGTATGAAACCGATACCCCTCGATACCGCTACTGCGCAGGCGCGGCGGTGGTCGGCTATTTATGAGGATTCGCGGAAATTCGACGGAACATGCCGAAGGTATTATGTTACTAGGATGCATTGCTCTTTTTCATAAAACTATTGCCTAGCTTTTTGTTTATTGTCAGGAGTTTTTTAAGACTTGAAGGAGTAAATTTTGAACTATAAAATAAAGGAAGATTTGAGAACTGATCCAAGCTTACTCTTAATTTCTTTAAACGACAGTTTGACAGGCGTGCTGATGTGTAATTCAGTAAAAAACCGGAATATTTTTAAACACGTTAACAGATTCTTATCTAGATGCAACAAAAAAGCTTAACAGAATAACAGGAGTTGCCAAAAAATGTCAAAGTCAAGGGCGTGTCAATTAAGAAGATGACTTAAAACCCTAAGGGAGATGATTCGGCGTCGAACAAACGAGTGGGTACGCCAAATACTACTGAAAACACACTGACAGCCACTTAAGCAGTAAAAAAATGCGATAAAAGTGTATCTAAAAAAGTGTCAAAGCTTAACGACATTATCGAGGTAAAAAACGTTAAAAGCCGTCAAAGAAACAAAACTATTTTCGTACGAATGTTTCTAATTAAGATACTATAGTAACTAGCACAAATTACAAATTTCCTGAGGAAATATCTGATTATCTATTATTTTTATCTCAAAAATTATTTGTAGGTTTACGACTTACGAGCCATCGAGCACCGATGACTGAGCGTTTTATGACGGATTTGAAACAAACAGTTTTAAGTGTGGGATTGAAATAAAAAATATGACTTTATGATATCTAGTAAACCTTGCATTTGTATTATAAATATATGTTTTTAGCGGATAAACAAAATCGAGAACTAAGTAGAACCTATGAAAATTTATTGTAGCTCGGTTAAATGATATTTTTTTATATTTTTTTGTTTTTTATAAAATGGGATACCAAACGAGTTCTCGTATTTTCTGATGGTAAGCAATCGGCGTCGCCAATAGACATCCGAAACACCAAAGGAGTTACGAGTGCGTTGCGTGGCCTTTTGGGGATTAGGAATTCATAGATTTAAGGATAGGGGAGAGATGGGAGGGGGGGAAGAAACGGGCCTCTGGTAACCTCACTCACACGGCGAAACTTAACGCTGTGGTTGTTTCTCGCCGGTTTTCTGTGAACCCGTGGTATAACTCCAGTCGAGCCGACCCATTCGTCCCGAAGCTTGTCTCTCTGACACTTAATCACACAATCATCCAATAACTTTTTCCGTCTTCTGCTTCTTTGGAGTAGAGCGTTAAGCCTGCCTACAAAAATGGCCAAGGGGTTATTGGGGGATAAGCAATGTACTTCTCCTGCTCCAAGCTGGGCTGCTGGAATCGGCACTAGTGGCTCACCATCTGTGGTGGTTTAATGGCTCTTTGATGCACCTTACGCTTGGGTAGGTCAAGTTAGGTGATGGGATATCTGCAAATTAGAACGGTTATCATTGGCGTGGCATGTTAAAGCAAAATAATTTGTTTTGTAAAATTCATCTGCTGATGATGATGATTAGGAATTAACTTACATAATTCACTAGTTAAATTCACGTAAGCCAGTAAATAACTGTTAATTTAGGGCTGGTTTTTCAATAATCGGATAAATGTTATTGCTAAATAATTATGCTGCTGTCGTGTCAGAATGTTTGTATAAGACAGTAAGGGCAACAATTTTATTCCTCAGATAACATTCATCTGACTATTGAAAAATCTGCCCTTAGTGGGTAGGTGGAGTGGTAACCATTGAACCAGCAAAAGTTTGAAAAGCTCTGGCATCTAGTACATTTTAACGAATTTACTTAATAGAAAGTACATAATAAAAAAAATGTTAATGTAAACAAATAATTTTTTTTTGTGTTTCTCTTAGTATTACTTTTTCTAAGTTTCATATATTATGTATATCCTAGCAACACACATAAAATTAGAGCGTATTTTTTTACCACATGGCGCCTACCTCCGTGATGGCATCCTTCCGGATGCGCTTGCGCCGCGAATCGTACGACTCGTTAGCACAGAATCCCATTAATTTAGCGAACACGTCAACACAAGAGTGGAGGGCGATGGGCCGCAACCAATAATTAAGTTTCGGTGATAAATTATTTTTATGAAAAATATTTTTAAGTTTTTATTGTAGTCTTAGTAGTCAGTCAGATCAGTTAAAAAATGTCAGTTTCTGCATATCCAACGAGTGAAATCTACTTTTCTTTATAAAGTTCTGTAAGTCAAGTTTACTTATTTATTTTAAATATTTTATGTTTAACATGAACTTCATCTAAGGAATGAAAATGAAATACCTAAAGTAAACTTA